TCCCCCTGAAGCAGCACCACGTATCCACACTGGCACCTATCCACTGTTCCTTTCCACCTTCACTCAAGTATGCAGTACTGCACCTTTTCTCTTTTCTTATAGGGTGATCATTTAATGTCATCCTGTGCCAGCATTTGCTGATGGGAATAAAGGTAAAGCTTAGAAAGCGGAAATGTCCACTGGGGCCCCTGGAGTGTTATGTAACTTGCAGTTAAATTACTTTCAACTTCTAGGGTGTTTCACATCTGAGGATCTCAAAGCACTTTCCAATCATTAATGAACGTGGGATTTGTCTAAACTAGAGAAACATGCCCTGGTATAAGCACAGTGATGTACATAGACTCTGGTGCACCTTAATCTGGCAATTCAGTAGCTGAGTTGGGAACACGGATCAATCCTGATTCCCATTCCTTTGTGCCAACCTCTAGCCATCCTGATTTCCATTTAGCTACGAAAGGTTAAAAGCTATCATGTGACTCCACTGAAATGACCAGAGGTACACCAGAGACGCATCTGGCTCAGAATAAGTTTCACAAATTCCCCGTTGAGTTGTGTAGCAAGAAATAACTGAAGACTGTCATGAATATACCAACACAGTAGCTTGCCTTTTTTCCCCCTCTTACTTAAAAATTTGCTCTTGTATTTATGTCTATGACCAAAACTATAGAGGAAGTGGAGATAAATGTGATCACTAATGATCCTAACATTTAGTTTGCTTCATTTTCCATGGTTAGCTCTGTTGTCAAGTGCAGGGCCTCTGAGGGTTTGTCTAGGGTGACCAGATGTCCCTATTTTATAGGGACAGTCCTGATATTTGGGCCTTTTTCTTCTATAGGCACCTATTACCCCCCACTAGGGTGACCAGATGACAAGAACAAAATATCGGGACACATGGGGGGGGGGGCAGCCACAGGCTCACCCCCCACAAGGGCCGGTTCTAGGGTTTTTGCCGCCCCAAGCCAAAAAAAAAAAGCCGGAGTGCCGCTGAAGCAAAATATCGGGACAAATGGCGTCCTAACCGTACATCGGTCAGGACACGGGACAAACAACTAAATATTGGCACTGTCCCAATTTTATCGGGATGTCTGGTCGCCCTACCCCCACCCCATCCCAATTTTTCACACTTGCTGTCTGGTCACCCTAGGTTTGTCTCCATTGCCGCTGGAGAGAGGCTTGTGCTAGAGGGGCTTGAGCGAGCATAATAAAAAGAGCAGTGTGGACACTGCGGCTCGGGCTGGAGCTTGGGCTCTCCACCATACCTGACCCCCTAGGCTAGACATAAGTGTCGATGTCTGTGGAGAGAGGAAAGAGCGCCTCGATTTAGCATAACATTGCAATGCTGTAGTGGGCTTCCACTCCTAGAGAAAAAGGAGAACTAGTTAAGCTAACCCGCTCCCCAGAGAGCAACACTGGTATGAGAGGTGGAGAGATAGGAATTGTGATTCACTGAGGAATATTGCTATGTAGGATACAGAACCTAACTAACCTATTATCCATCAACTGATTTAGCAGAGGCTTTACATCAGCCCCTTTCAAGGCAGACAAGCCATACCAGGAGGCTGTGTGGCTTAGAGCTCAGGATGCAGGACACCTGGGTTCTATTCCTGGCCCCACTGCTGGCCTGCTGGGTAAGCTTGGCAAGTCACTGCCACTCTGTGCCTCAGTTTCCCCATCTTTAAAAGGGAGATAGTGATACTTACTTCCCTTTGAGATCCACTGATGAAAAGTGCTATATAAGACTTTGGTATTATTACTTAATATTACGCAAAAAAACCCATCACCCTGTAACCTGAGTCTGGAGCATGTTAATATGAAAAGGGCCAAAATGATCCTGGGTCTAACTCAGCTCGAGACAATAGAGATCCAACTGGGGTAAATTAGGGTCAACAAAGTTTAAAAGCTTCAGTGAAGCACATGCTAATCGGGCCGACGTTTATTCTTGGTTCTTTCTCACTCTCAATCTCTGTTTCAGGCTTATCCTGCATATACATTCAATTCTATTCAGGTTTTTATACCGGGCCATTATTACGGTACCTGAGCACCTCCACGTGGCCATTTAAAAACGTGGGGAAATGGACTAATAAGCAGGTGCATCAGAGGGAACACTGTTCTTTCTCTACGGGGACACTGCTTACGTGGTGATGGAATACCAAGAGTGATCACAAAGGGGTAGGAATAAACAGAGGGAAATGTAGACTGCGTAGCAGAAAAAAATTCCCAAGTGCAAGGTGAATGTATGAGACAGCCTTTGCCAAGTCACCAACCTTTCTCCCATTACCTGCTAGAGATGCACTATCTAAACTAAACCAAACACCCTCCCCAAATCATCCCTGCCTCAGGCTGTCTTCTCTGTGTCTGTGAGTCCTTCGGAACAGGGAGTGTTCTATACAACACTGAGCACATGGCTGGCACTTAACAAAGCATATCAATAACAAAAATAGTGACATTACAATCTAATGACTGTGGAATTGTCTTCTTAGGGAAGTGGTGTCAGCCCTACATCCTGAGCCATTTAAAAATAGATTAGATTAGATTAAAACTAGAGCTCTGGCAGGGGAGTGAACAAGAGACTGTCAGATTCCTTTGCCCACTTGGAAAATATTCAAATAAGCATATTAATGCTTTCTCCCATGCTGTCCCTTAACCATCCGCAAAGTAACTCATTATTGTCCTTCAGATCCCTCCTTAAAACTCTTCTTTGCCACGAAGCCTACAAAAAACTTAACAGTCAGACTGCCGGTGTGCTGAGATCACCACCTACCATCCTGACCAATATTGTCTCACTGTGCTCCCTTTCTGTCTGTCCCCACCTGTTGTCTCTTGTCTTTGTCAGCTCTTTGGGACATGGAGTTTATTTTTGTTTTGTGTTTGTACAGCACCTAGCACATGGGGTTCTGGTCCATGACTAGGTATCACTGGGTGTTACAGACCCATGCTGGCCTGACAACCAAGGAGTTTGTCATAAATATAAAGGGAAGGGTAAACCCCTTTGAAATCCTTCCTGGCCAGGGGAAAGCTCCTCTCACCTGTAAAGGGTTAAGAAGCTAAAGGTAACCTCGCTGGCACCTGACCAAAATGACCAATGAGGAGACAAGATACTTTCAAAAGCTGGGAGGAGGGAGAGAAACAAAGGGTCTGATGAAGTGAGCTGTAGCTCACGAAAGCTCATGCTCAAATAAATTGGTTAGTCTCTAAGGTGCCACAAGTACTCCTTTTCTTTTTGCGAATACAGACTAACACGGCTGTTACTCTGAAAAGGGTCTGTGTGTCTGTCTATATGCTGGTCTTTACCGGGGATAGACCAGGAATGGAGTCTTAGAACTTTTAGTAAGTAATCTAGCTAGGTATGTGTTAGATTATGATTTCTTTAAATGGCTGAGAAAAGAATTGTGCTGAATAGAATAACTATTTCTGTCTGTGTATCTTTTTTGTAATTTAAGGTTTTGCCTAGAGGGGTTCTCTATGTTTTTGAATCTAATTACCCTGCAAGATATCTACCATCCTGATTTTACAGGGGGGATTTCTTTATTTCTATTTACTTCTATTTTTATTAAAAGTCTTCTTGTAAGAAAACTGAATGCTTTTTCATTGTTCTCAGATCCCAGGGTTTGGGTCTGTGGTCACCTATGCAAATTGGTGAGGCTTTTTATCCAACATTTCCCAGGAAAGGGGGGGTGCAAGTGTTGGGAGGATTGTTCATTGTTCTTAAGATCCAAGGGTCTGGGTCTGTAGTCACCTAGGCAAATTGGTGAGGCTTTTTACCAAACCTTGTCCAGGAAGTGGGGTGCAAGGTTTTGGGAAGTATTTTGGGGGGAAGGACGCGTCCAAACAGCTCTTCCCCAGTAACCAGTATTAGTTTGGTGGTGGTAGCGGCCAGTCCAAGGACAACGGGTGGAATATTTTGTACCTTGGGGAAGTTTTGACCTAAGCTGGTAAAGATAAGCTTAGGAGGTTTTTCATGCAGGTCCCCACATCTGTACCCTAGAGTTCAGAGTGGGGGAGGAACCTTGACAGAGTTAATGCAGCAACTGCCAGCCAGCACTGACTGGCAGCCTCACAACAGGTAGGAGAAAAAGAGCTGAGAAGCAGAGGGGAGTGGGGCCTTGCAGAGGAGCAAGCAGGCTGGAGATGTAAAGTCCTGCCAGCAAGCTGGTGAGAAGCTGCCCAGAGACAACACCCCAGAGAAAGGACGACCAGATCTACAGGCTGGAGAAGCCTACAGAACCCAGGGAGGTAGGAAGGAGCTCAGGGCACAATAGAAGGAGTTGTTGAGTATTGATTCTGCCTGTCTGGTTTAAGGACCCTGAGCTGGAACCCAGAGGAGTGGGTGGGCCATAGCTCCCTACAGACCCCTTAATAGAGACTTAAGAAGCAAAGAGGTTTCCAGACCCGCTGATGACCAGAACAAGCTGACCCCACCAAGTACAAGGGAAAACCTGCACATCCCAGTGGGACTGAAACTAACACCCTCCATAGCCCAGAACAGGAGTAGTATAGACACTCAGCCAAGAGGGGCTGACTGTCTGCCCCGCCAGCCTGAGCTGAGTCTGTGCAATGCTCCATCTGACCAAAGGGGGCATTGATGCATTAACACACCAGTGCCCACTAGGGCTCCTAGGTGTGATGTTGGATGATGATGATGATGGTGATAAGATATCTTTTCCAAACCCCAGATTGACATTTTCAAAGCTCAGTAAAATTTTCCAATATGCATCTTACCTTTCCAGTTCCAACTAAAATTAACGGGAACTGGGCATCCACATCCCTTAAGTAGCTTCGAAAATCTCAGCCTAAATCTATAGGTAAAATTCACTCAGTACAGAGAGCTCAGTCCACACTATATACCACTTACATCCTATATCAAGGGCTTACATGGGACCTGATGCTTTGCACTTGGGCCATTCTACACTGGGGTGAATTTCATCCACTGAATTTTATTCCATTAACATTACATGGAATACAAAATGGTGCCAATGGCATATTATCCCAGCAGCACTTACTCATAAAATGTTGTCCATCCGTTTTCATTGGTCTTGGTGGCAAGAAGACCAGAGTTGCCATGGTACGTCATCATACCCACTTCATGCCCTTGTGCTGTCACGCTCTTGAGGGCGCTATTGGTGCCAATTGTCACCCAGTAGACCTGGCCGTCTGGCACTACCAGCCAGAGTGGCATCCCAGTAGAATCTCTCCGGACATTGACTAAGTTACCATTGTTATCAGTGATCAAGGTTATGTCTCCATCTCCGGTGTAGGTAAAATTGTAAAGGTAATCTCCTGTGGGTAGGCTCTGGGTATAAAGGTGTTTACCGCTGGTGTCAAACAAGTAGAGTTCCTGGTCTATAGGAGAGGACAACTCATATAAGTTCTGTGTGTTGAGGTATGGCTTGTTTTTCCGAATAAAGCGGATTCGGATGTTTCCAAGGTCAGCAACATACAACTCCCCATCTGCGCACACGGCTAGGGAGGAAGGGGCATTTAGCTTGGCATCCTTTGCGTAGCCATCATCCCCAGAGAAGCAGTCACAGTTGGCATCATTCTTGCAGTCACAGCTGCTTGGTGCACCAGCAACAAGTGAGATTTCCCCATTGGTGGTGACCTGCCTGATGCGGTTGATCTTCTTCTCGTCGGTCTCAGAGATATACAGGACCCCATTATGGGAGACGGCCAAAGCCGTGGCAGATTCCAAAGTTGCATGTATTGCCACTTTGCTGAGGAGGAAGTGATCAATGCCTGGGACCTGGCAGTGCATAGGCCTTCCGGCCACAATGCGCACTTGGTGATTTTCAGAGATCTGCAACACAACGTTATTGTCGAGAACATACAGGGAATTATCCATCGGGTTGACTGCCAGATCTGTGGGCCACTCTAGACGAACCTAACAATGGAACACAAAAAAACTGTTAAAAAGTCTATTTTTTCTATTTGCTTCACAAAATCAGCCTTATCAATCAAATCTCTAAACGCTTCCACCCATCCATCCAATATCTAGGTGCGTAGTATGTTTGGCATGTGAAATGATTAAAAAGAGAAATAAGAGAAAGGACTAAATAAATATTTATTTGTATTGTGGGAGCACATCAAGGCCCCCAAACCCCATTATGCGAGGTGATGTACAATCAGATAACCAAAAGACAGCCCCTGCTCTAAAGAGATTACAATCTAAGTGTTCCAGAAGAGGTGCCTAAATTACATGGGCAATCTACATAGGCTTGTAGACAACCTGGGTAGCTGTTTGTGCTACTAAACCTGCTGTGTTGTAACTGCATATTTTGAGTACGCAAACTATGAACATCTTTTTGAAAACTTAGTACAGGGCCTTGGGATCCAGGCATTGGTTCTGCAACCATGGATAAATATGAATTTTCAGTTTATTTATTTCACTGCATGAAATCAATTGCTTGCTTCACAGTGTTTTTTTCATGGCGTTAAGCATTATGAAAGACCAAGTTTAAGTAATAATAATACTTTACACTTGTATGCCCCACCTTTGTCCCAAAATGATTTACTAACACTACAATGCTGAAAAGAGAAGTATTCTTATAACCCATTTTGTAGATGGGTAAACTGAGGCAGAGAGTGGTTAAAGGCACACTGAGTCAGGCGTAGAGGTGAGTGTCTGCGATCCCAATTTCCTGCTCTAACTATGGAACGTATTGTCTCTCAATTGAGGATACTGTTTGATTTGCTAAGAATAACGCCAAACTTAAGAGAATTTTATCTCTACGTGGGTAACATATAGCTCTAACATGAAAATTTCAATATAATTTGGATTCCTTTTATATTCCAAGCCATTTCAGTGTTAATAAGAGCCACAGAAACACACTTTGAGATCATTTTATTTTGTTTCACATACAAAGAAGTGGTTCAACATTGAGCTGAAGGGAGCTAAATAATTTTAAGAGGGTCTCACACAACATGCATGATTCTACAGTGGGAGGGATGGAGAGCAGGTCTGTCTGGAAGATGTTCTTGGTCATCTTAGAATTTCTCCAGGTCAGGCTTTTAAACACCTTTTCGCAAACTGTTCTTAAAAGATCTCTCATGGTTATAGTCCTAGTCGTAGTGAAAGTTTCTAGGGTCCAGTTCCCTGATTCCCCAGGCTGCAGCAGCACCAGCCTTGGCCCTGGTGTAAGTTTGAGTAACCCGTTAGGTTTGCTACAACATATGACAGCTGACTAAAGTCCCGAAGGGACCATATGCCAATTTAGAATTTGCAGAGCGGAGATGCTCATCCCCTTCCTGCTCCTGTTATGCCACTTACTTCCCCCTGACATACCCCATACATGGAGATAATGTTGCACAATGACACATATCATGGCAGAGACATTGCAGTTCAATGTTAGGGTGCCACTCTGCCTCTCTGATACAGCTCTTTCTGCCATCTTATCCCTGGCTGCTGTTTCTCCTTGTCCCCACCTTCTCTAGCTCTTTGGAAGGATGTGAAGGGGACCCCAGTAGCCTGAGGCCCAGAGAACTCACTCTCATTGCTGCCTTTGTATGAGATCAAGCAGAGTTAGAGGAGCTCCTGTCAGATCCACAGACAACACAAGAGCCCCACATGACTCTCGAGCCACTGGCCAAGTGTCACTGCTAGAGAGCATCGACCATATGGTCTGGTTTTGATCCTTCAGTCATGTTCAACCTCCTCCTACACTTATTTATTAAAGGGTGCCAGTTACAACACAGGTTGGTCTTGTGACTTCTAACACCCTAGCTTGTGAGGCATGAGTCTCAGTGCTAGACACAGCAAGCTGAGAGCTGTCTAGTCTCCCTCTGCTACATTCTCAAAAATCCCCATCTCTTCTTGGCTCTTGGCCTACTTTAACCCTTCCTGGAGTACAACATTATAGCTGTGGTTTTCCCTTCAGTAATGCATGACTCCATACATTCCCATAGTCTTTAGAGCATTGCTCCACTGTAGCCTTGAGTTAGCATCAAGAGCAGAGTTTACTCTGAACTGATGAGGGAATTTTCAGTTCCTTAAAACCCATTTCTTGTCAATGTTGGCAGCTAAATATATTTCATGCCCTCTGGTCTCGCAGTGCCTCAGGGGCCTGACAGCTGAGACTTTTCTAGTCACAATAATTGATGAAAAGATAGTTCCCGAAGTTGAGGTTTTTTTTAAAACTTGTCTGTTGTGTCTCTCTGTCTCAGAACTATCTGAGAACAGCTCCTTTCACTTTAAAGAATGGGGAGACAGGGGATGCAGATGGCATATTTTGAACCCATCTCAGAACTGTTTAAAGAGGACATTATTATATAAAAGCTATAAGCAAGCTGAAAATATATGTTTAAAAAGCCTGGTCCACAATAAACTTCCTCTGGCTGGCACTAAGATCCTGGTAAAGAAAGGAATATGCTTGTGAGATGGGGGTCATTATGCTGCAAGATGGCCTTTAACCATCAAAATTTACCTCTGTATGAGGCACGACAGCTTTTAAACTTGTAATTTTAGCCTTTTCATGAATTGCGGACAGTGGGAACCTGCTACAAAGAAGCAAGAGTAATCTTTTCAAATTAGGGGGGGAAAACATGAAGAATGGATTCCATATGGGAGCATGAAAATTATGTAGGTAGTTACAAAAGGGAAACCCCGTTGATATCCATTGTGGCTGAATAATAGTACTTAGCCCACCAGCTAGGATTTGTATTTTTGCACAATGGGGTAACATTCTTCTGGCCATCTAATAATAAATGGCAAAAAAGGTTTTAAATGACTGTACCTCCAAACTGGCACTATTTGATGGGATGGGCAGCACCCCAGAAAATTGAGTCCTGGCCAGGAACAGGTTTGTCTACTGTCCCAGCCACAAAGAAAGAAATAATCAAATACAGAACTTTTGGGTATTTTGCATTTAATAAACAGGACTTAAAAGCCCAGGATGACGGTAGCTGCAACCAATTTGCAGTTTGATGCAATTCAAGATACTTGTTTTCCAGCTGATGCTAATTTTGGCACCACAGCATCCCATCACTGTTTCCCAGATGTTAATTTGATTCAGTCCTAAAACTGTGCTGTGCCATTATCTAGTGACAAAAAAGCAAGCCCGCACCTCATCGCTAGAGGAGAGCGAGTCTTAAACATCACAGAGTAAAACTGGCCTGGTCTTTTGATTTGATACAAGTTTTGGTACCTGAGAAATGTCCATGGCGGAGTCACAGCTGAGAGGCCTGGCAGATGTCAAGTCATTGGAGCCCAGCATGGTTGAGATAATCCCATTCTGGTCAATACGTCTGATCATGGTGCCATCTACAAAGTAAATCAACCCAAACTTGTCCACAGTGATGCCTGGGAAGGAGAAGAGCAGGGAAATCACAAATGAAAGGTCACCAGAGGATAACAAAATACTTTGCTGAGGCAACAAATGGTTTTTAGCACTGCTTGACATATGCCTCTTTATAAATGATGATGTCTAAGGGCTTGTGCCAACTGCCACTGGAGTGAAAGGGCACCAGTTCAGGGTTTAGGTGAATGAGGACATTGGGAGAAATTTATTTAACGGATTAAAAGTTAATTATACTTGATTTGGCCAACCAGTGGGCCAATGAAACCTGGCACTGCTCCACTGAAGTCAGTAGCAATTAAGCGCAGCAGAGAACTAGGCCCTACAATTTTGTTTAGGAATCACTGTCCATTCTTTGAACGTAGTATGGGATTTTCAATGAATTGCTGAAAGAAAAAGATTTCCAAGTGATTCTGCATCATCACTTAGAAACACTGTATATTGCTTGTTGAATCAGTGCCAAATTGTTTAAATGAAGAGATGATACTAGGGTGCTTATCAGAGAATTATGGATGAGAAATGCTGGAAAAGACCAGTCAGGTCCATCCAAGTCCCATCCGCTGGAATGAGGAGAGCTTTTCCATATATTAATCCCACAGCATTTTAACTAACCTGTTTCTGAACACATGTAGGCCACTTATTGCATTATCTCATTCCCCTTTCTCATAAGACACATTCCAAATGTCTGATGTGAATTTTTGCATCTTTAGCTTCAGACCACTGTTCCATGTTTCACCACCCTCAGGCCCCGTCTAGCATCACTTCTCAAGCACTTGCCATGTTTACACAACCTCCCTTAATTCTCTTTTTCCCAGGCTATCTGTACTCTGCATTTCTAAAGCCCCTGTCATAAGAGGCTCTCACAGGGCTTTATACTTACTAATTAGACCTCACAGCACCCTTATGAGCCAGGCATGATCATCTTCATTTTGCAGATGGGAAAAATTAGAGAGAAAGTGATTCTCACAAGGTCACACAGTGAGTCACTGGCAAAGCCAGGAACAGAAATCAAGGACCCCATTCACTTCTCTTTCATATTGGTATAAATCAAGAGTAGAAGTTAATGGAATTCTCAATCTTAGTGTTTTATACAGCTGTCCATCACTGTAATACCTGAGCCCCTTCAATATAAAATGAATGGCAATATTGAAAGTCCACAGTGGACCTCATGGAGTCTCTGGCAGGTCTCCCTTTTCAGGTTAAAACTCTGCTTGGGGAAGGGTTTTTCCATCTTTTAGATTCTATTAATTTCGTATTTTGGGTTTGGGTTTCTTTGGATAGGAGAAGGTAAGAATGACGGGAGTGTCATTCTACTGCTCAAAAGGCCTTTTTTGAAGAGGAAGGTTTTGCAGTATTTCCTAAAGACAGTCAGACTCTCGGCTCCCCTGATCTTCTCTGGGAGTATGGTTCATAACCAGATCCCCTGGCTGAGAACGCTATATCCTCAGCATCCACGTGCTTTGTCCCAGGCTTTGTGATGTGCACTGCCCCAGAGTATACTTTGACATTCAGTCTTTGATGTAGCTGTGGCTTGAGCCATTAATTGCTTTGAAGATTAGGACCAAAGCCTTAAACTGACATCAGAAACTGACTGGGCCTGACATTTGTGCATGGACCTGATGAGCTCATGGTGACCCAAACCATGGAGAAGGCATGCAACCACATCTCATACCAGCTAAAGTCTGGGCATCATCTTCACATTCAACTTCAGATACAGTGAATTACAGTAATCCAGTCTGGAGGACATGAATGCATGGATCACTGTGTCCAGGTCCTCATCTGAACGTATGGGACAAAGATTCATAGCGAACTGGAGGTGATGCTCATGCTACCTGGTTATACAAGCTTAGCGAGGAGTAAAACAGGACACTGAGGCTTCTCAGTACTTTGATGAAGGGGGTTGTACACCTTTCATGAAAGATGGAGACAACATCTTGGCCAGTTCTTTGAAGTGTGTTCTCTTTCTGACTAGCATCACTTTGGTCTTGCTTGGGTTCAGCTTGAGCCAGACATTTTTTATCCAGGAGTTGATTTCTTGGCCGCATTCTGATGTTTTAGCAGTGGCAGTGGTTGCATTGGGTTACAATGAGATATCTAGTGGAATAATACTGAAATACTGTTGGCAGCTGAGCCCTTGGCATCTCACTAGCTCACCCACCAGTCTGGGACATGTACATTATGGATGCTTGTGGGAATCTTCAGGTGAAGGCCTTTGGAGAGGAGGAGCAGATACCTAACGCCACCCTCTGAGTTTTGCGGCAGAAGAATGATTGAAACCACTGTAGTGCTGGGCCATCTACTCCTGCTATGTCACGTAGATGGGTTGGCAATACCTTGTTCCCCATTGTGTCAAAGGCTTCAGAGAGGTCCAGTAATATGAGCACAGAGATCTTGCCTTTCCCATGGACTTAAGGAGGTTGCCTTTTAATGCCACTAGAACAGTTTCTGTGCTGTGCCGTGGTCTGAACCCTGATTGTGAGGCAACCAGGAGGTTACATGCCATTATAGCTTGGTGGCTACTACTTTCTCAGTTATATTGCCCAGGAATGGGTGGTTGGACTTGGGATGGTACTGAGCTTTTCAAAGGGTTTAGTAGGCATGCATCTCTGAAGAAGGGTATCAACTATTTCCATTAGGAGTGGACTTAGTTGTTCTTCACTGGTTTCTATCAGACAAGAGGGGCCTGGACCCATTTCAAAGCTTGGGGCTTTAATATTTTTCAGAGATTCTTGAGCTTCAGCATATGTGATGGGGCCAAGCTCAATCAGCGGTAGGGGTGGATAATACAATTTGGTCAGGATTGGAATTTTCTTTCCTAGTTACTTCCATATGTTTTCGGTTGAGCTTATCAGCAAAGTATGCTGACAGCTCTTCACAGCGGTCGACACTTGGGTCTGATGTCTGGGCAATTGCAGTCTGGTCTGATTAGCCAGCTACAGCAAAATCAGGCCATGTGTATATTTGCTTCCAGGGCTTGGGTCTAACCACCAACGCAATGCAACTTTATTTTGCATAGTATCTTTCCTAAAAATTGTAACCCCAAATGCTTTTGTGAGTTAAACATTATACTTGTCTAGTTAAACAGTAACAGAGGAAGAGAGAATTCAGTGGTATAGACAAAGGAAGAAAAGGGCCTGATCCTTGGTTTAGCCTGAGTTCCCTTTTCCCTGCTGGCTTAAAGCTGCCCTAAAGGAGTAGATGGGGATTCCCCTGATGTAGGGAAATCCTAATGCTGCTATTATGTCACCTGCTCCATCCTGCTCGCCATGCAGGCTGTGTACGAAGGCAGTGCAGTGCCTCTGGTGATCGTGGGCCAACAGAATGGTCCCTAGTGGACTGTCCAGATAGACTGTGAGGCTGCTCTTTAGGCTGGGGGCTGTCAGGGGAGAAAGGAAGGTTGTTTAGAGCCCTCTCAGCTTCCCCTCATAGCCCCATGAACTCACCGCAGATCAAACCCAGGAGATGGGATACAGGCATTAAATCAGTGCCATCAGCCTCTCTTCGTTTGGTATATATTCCATACCAGGTCACTTTACTTGCTCTTCTTGGAATTAAACTTTCTGATGTTCTCATAAGGAGGAGCTCCAGCCTCCTTTAGACAGATGCCTTTGAAACGGGTAATTTTCAGTGTGGAGGGAGAGAAGTAACTGATGGCTACTGTGTAGCAGGTTAAAGTGGTCAAGAGCTATTCTCGGGCTTAATTTACCACCTTCAACTCTTAAAGGAATTTTCATTTTTCCTTTCTGGAAGGGAACCCTTTTTGGGGAGTTAATTACAGGAAGTTCCATCTTTTGGGCAGGCTACTTACAGTAGCACAGCTGAGGCTGGTTCACTGTCAGACAAGCATGTTGTGCATGCTGAACTGAAGGCCTCGGACGTGTAAGTTGCATTGGCACAAGCCTTCTTTCGTTTACCGACAGCAACACAGTTAGAATTAAAGATGGTTGGCCTGCAAATCAAAAGCCCAGTTGTGCAGATACCTTAATCAGATGAGATTCCCATTGATGTTATCTGAGTAAGGACTACTGTACGGCACCTTAGAATTTTAAGATCTGGGCTGACAAATGTGAAATGACCCTAGTTCCTCTGGGGTGGTCCAACATCCTTTAGCAAGGAGGGCTTGCGGTGCCATTGAAGTGTCATGATAATGAGTTATGCTGGTGGAACGCTGTGTCATGAGGACATTTCTTTTGTAACATCAGGTTCCCGTGGCCTGGTGACAGGACAGCACAAAGCTGCAGGGCAAACTGACACCAGAGAGTAGGAACAGCTAAAAGTAGTTACCCTACACTTGGGAACCTATTAACAAAAAATCCCAATAAGATCATATCAAATGAATGAGGCAGCTCATGGTGCACAGCTCAGTACATACGGTGCTGAAGGGAGATCCTCGTCCAAGGGCAGAGAAGATGTAAAGGAATGGGTTCTCCTCTAATCCTCACATCCTGAATACAAGTTAGTTAGGTTCGGAAGAAACCTATACATGGAGCTTCCTTGTCTGGCTGGATAAGTGCTTGTCTTTCCTGTTATTTTTTTATTCTGCTAGAATTGATGAGCACTTAGTGAACAATGGAGATTTTGCTCATGCATTCAGTACTACACACCGACAGAAATGATCTGTCCTCAAATTAATTACTTCATTTTGCATCTCCTTTGTGGTGCTGAATGGATGGACTCTTTTTCCCCCTTCTGAAACGATCTTCATATTGTGTCAGTCTTGTCACTTGGATCTCTGTTAATTGCAGGTTTCTTGGCAATTTCACTGCCACAACATTTTTGTGACAAGATCCACTGGCGAGTGCTTAGATGGAAACAAAACACTCTGACAAGCTGGAGTTTTAATAATTTTTTTTAAAGCTTGCTTGTAGAATAAGATCAGTATTAGCAGATGATAATTAGAAAGTGATAACACTTTAATGTACAGAGTATACTGAAATTCATTAGCATCTGAAAGCTCTGCCACGCTCTGTGTCAAATGAATTGGAAGGGCCAGACCAGTGATTAACAAATACCACCGATCCTGCAACTGCCGCCCATGTTTTATCTATTGATCTGCTGTATTTCTAATATGCCCTGTTTCAGCAGAGGAGCCAAGGAGGAAATGGGCCATGGAGAGTCCAGGTGAGGGTTTTGACACCTTGGGCCTGATTCTCCATCGGCTACAGCTAGCTCTGCAAGACTGTCAAATTCATCTTCTTGAGTATTTTCTGGCAAGTGGGAGAGATCCCGCTGCTGAAGCTATTCATGTAAGCAAAGGCCTCTGCTTCCCTGGTAGCTGCATACAAGCTGGAAAGGGGTCCTTGCTTCTTCGCTGCAAACCAAAGATCCTGCTCCCATGCCAAGATTAATATTTTGGGTCAAGAAGTGGCTTCAGACTTAGAAAGAGTAGAGGCCTGCAGAGCTAGCTGCAGAATGAATCTTCCAAAAGCTTCCCTGGCCAGCAGCTGCCTGAACTCCTGGATACATTCAGCCAGCTTGGGGCACAGAATAGTTTTCTACTCTCCTCTGCCCATCCACTCTCCTCTGCCCATCCACTCCAGAGAGATAGAGAAGGTAGGGGCAAGTCTGAGGACTGCTGGTTACAAGCCTAAGAAGTCACTTTCTTGCTGCAGCTGTATTTCATAATAGTTCAAAATGAAAGCGTGTTCTCTGGTACGCTAGAATGACTGGTAGTGAGCTAGTAAATGACATTGACATTATTTTGTCAACATTAGTTTTCAGTGTTAATTTATTGAGATGCATGGGGAGCAAGTCACACTAGTCGGAGCTATTAACTCAGATGACTCTACAAATTCATGGGTGGAATTAGAGCTGGATGAAAGTGGAGACAAAATGTATATGAAAATTCACGTGACATGTTTTGGCAGTTTGTTGCTTGTGATTGCCGTTCCCACCCTCAATGCGGTTTTATTTTTCATCAGATGAAGTGAGCTGTAGCCCACGAAAGCTTATGCTCAAATAAATTTGTTAGTCTCTAAGGTGCCACAAGTACTCCTTTTCTTTTTGCGGATACAGACTAACACAGCTGCTACTCTGAAACCTGTCATTACCCTAGGAGAAAGGAAAGTATGATTTCCCCCACCTTCCAGGGGGGGAAATGGAGACCCAGAGAGCTTACCTGATTTTTGAGCCCAATGTTCAACAGCTAAGTCGTGCAGGAAATTGGATTTCAGGTCTCCTGACTCCCTGTCCCATGCTGATCTATTAGAGCATATGTTGTCCCTCTACTTCCCTTTTCACTCCATTCCCCCTTGTAAAATGGGTTGACTTCTCCTCAGCAACCCATTGACACATAGCTATGGACTTTGTAAATCCTATGCCTACTGTACATACTGTCATCCTCATGTAATGGGAGCTTCAGTGGGAGTTCTGAGTGCACCAGGAAGCCATTATCAGTCCTATGAGTATTATAAAGGGAGCAGTTACGCTTCAGTATTTTTTGGTACAGAGCAGCACGAAGCATCCTGGGCTAATTTCCCCTGCATCCTGCCAGGAAACATAAGTAGCCCATGCATAACGAAGATTCACAACTGGAGCCGACACAAAAGATCGCTAAATTGGTTCTCGTTCGTTGGATGCCATAACAATAATGTCATCTGTATGTCAAGAAAAATAATTTTCCAACCCGTGTAGCCAGGAGAGACACAGCCCTGCCGCCTCCACTGCTCCACTGTGAAAGCGACAGGCGAAAGGCCCCATGTCTTTGTCAGGAGGTTCCCCCACTCCAGAGATTCCAGCCAGGTGCACAGGCTTGGAGATGGGAGTGCTGATGGAAAACGGGGTCCCATAACCTCTCACTGTGATTGAGAGAGAAACCTGCCACACATTGACGCTAAATGTGCAGATGTAGCTGGGCAGGAGGCCCAAGTGTGATTTTTTTGTTTTTAAAGCCAACACCTCGTAAATAATTCCCTAGGTTCCTAACCAACAGGCAACAAGACATGCAACCAGAGCAGCAGAAGGGGCTCCTTGAGCATATAGCTCCTCTATAACAGCAGTATCGGTCAGTCTCTGCAGAGGATCTTCCCCCACTTTTACACATGCAGCCGTCCATCATATAGTATGAATGAAGGTATTTCCTCTACAAAAATAAAGCTGCAGGGCCGCATCCCAGTTGTTGCATTTGAATACAATCCATAGTTAAAGTGAGAACAAGTGTTTGTAACACGAGCCTGTCAACACTGAGCAAAACGAAATGAGTGTAAAGGCCACCATCCCAGTGAGATAACACATGCATGGCAAGCATATGTCCTAGTTTAGTCATTGGAAAGGTATCTGGGCCTTCTGGTCGAAATGTTTGAATAAGGTGTGAAAGCCAACAGTACCCTCTCTCCTACATATATCAGCCTCACTGCAATCTAGGCTTAAGACTGGATTTATCGAGGAGCAGTGGCTGGCTCACGGGGTCGGTAACTGCATGCAGAGCTTGTCAACTTTAGATTGCCAGTCTGAGGACTTGGCTACATAAAGAGTTGCACTGGTTTGACTAAAGGTGTGATTTTAAACCAAATTAGTTCAACCAGTGTAAATGTCTATGTAAACTCTCTTATTTTGGTTTAAGCAGGTTTATTTCAGTTTAGTTTAATTGACCAGAACAAGTTAAAACTACATTGAAATAAGACATTTTTGTATCAGAATTAGTGTCCACATAGCCTTTTGCATGGGCTTAACTATATTGGTTAAAATCATATTTGTAGTTAAACTGGTGTAACTTTCTTGTATAGACAAGCCCTGGATCACAAGGGACCAAACTGCAGTGTGTAACCCTGGCTTCAACTTACCTCTGAGAGATACCTGAGGGGTCTGTCTCTATTTTATATACAGCAACACTTGCAGAGCCTTTTATGCCACTAAAGTCTCAATGAACTGAACTGAATTTAACTGAATGTAGTCCAGATGGGTAGTGACCAAACGTTTTAATTCTCTCATGGTGTTTTGGGGGCTAAGTGGTATATGAAATGGATTGCTCCTCTCAGTACAGTTCCCTTTGGACACATGTCTATAAAATCACCCCTCTCCAAATTGGCACCATTCTTAGCAGTCTCAATACAAGGCTAAGGACTGGAAGGGCCTGGGGTTGAATGATCCACTCATCCCTAGTGGTGGTCCCTCCAGCTCAGAGCTAAGACATGTTAGTGGTTTGCCCTGTTCTGTGGACAGAGGAGATCTGTTTCCAGAACTGTTGGCTTGGCACCTTTCTCAAAGCCCACTTTAAAATGCTTGTAAGAAGAGGCTGCATCTTACCCCTGGGGTTAGTGAGTGTTGCTTCGGTGCCTTTGCCCCCATCTCCACAGCGGGTTTCATCAAAGGGAAGGCACTGATCCCCAGTCCCTGCCACCACCTCCGAATTCTTGACAACATCCTTCACGACGGAGGTCGACTTGATCTTATAGATGCGTCGGCTGTTAGTGTCAGAGAGGTAGATGGAGCCAGTGATTGGGTCTGATGTCAGGTAATACTTGTGAGCTGGGCTGTGGCTGAAAAACAAACATACAGAAGTGTTATCTTCATTGGTAGATTTCAGTATTTGTTTCCCTAAGCACACCAGGCAGCATTAATAGTTTGGAGGAATAAAATGTTGAAGGGGAAGTACTGCAGCTCTGCATCCAGTGGATTTAGCTCATTATTGCATACACTCTGATAGTACTAATGCTAAGTACATCACAAGCCAATTAAAGAGAAACAATGTGGCCCAATATATAGTGAACTGGAGTGGGAGTCATTGCAGTTTGATCTTGGGTAAGTCACGTCACCCCTCTATGACTCAGTTTCTCCGTCTGTTAAATGGTCCTAATGAAAAAAAACCCTTCTTTTGTAAAGTGCTTTGAGATCTAGAGGTAAAAGGCACTATCTAAGAGCTAAGTATTATTATTCATGTAGCGTTTGATCCTGCTGTCATTGAATTCAATGGCAAAACTCTCATTTACTTAACAGAGTCCTGAGGGTCCTATTCTATGCCTGTGGAAGTAAATGGGAGTTTTGTCATTGAATTCAATGGGAGCATCGATCAAACTCTTAAAATGACTCTCAAAGAGGTTGAATGATTTGCCCAAAGTAACACTGCAGGCCAGCAGCAGAGAAGGGAATACAGCCCAGGAATCCCGACTCTAGACTGGCATCAAGCAACAGAGTCTAAATAGAGACTGTACAATAGAATTAGATGGAAACAGCAGTAGACTTGAATTTAGACATTTATTTAAGCTAAGGTCCTTGGAGAAATACAGTATAATATTATTTCTCTATTATTCAACGTAAGTGTTTGCTACCGCTAGCTATTGATTTACACTCTCTTCTGAGCCTGGGAATCAACAAAGTTAAACTAATCATACCTATAGCATGAACCCAGCTCTACTTTCCTCTCGGAATTGCAAGGTAACTGTCAGGACATGTTTGAAAATTTCTCCTCCCACATACTCCACTTTCTCTAAATTCATCGGATCCCCACTAAATTCAGTGGCAAATTTACAGGAGGTGGATTTTGCACTCAATGGGCATTAAGCCATCCTAGTGATCAGTTATTCTATGAGCAGCCAGTTGGGGATGTCTGTGTGGCAATGCTGATTCCCCCCCGCCCCCACCACTTTATCAGGAATTGCTCACTACCTTCCTTTTCAAAATACTGCATGATTCTCAATTTTAAAAGCCATGCACTGGTTCTTCATTCAAATTACTTAGTGCTTTGGAAAAAAGCCTTTTTGATTTATCCTGGAAGATCCCTTGTGATTTATCCTATTAAAGTCTGAACAGATTTCATTTCCACAAATGACACTGATTTGTGCTAAATAAAATGCTCTGACCTTCAAGACAGCTCCACCTGGCAGTTCAGTCTCCATCTGTATTCCTTTCCAATGACAGCAGGCTGGTAGGGTATTATTTCATTTACCTACATGTCACTCACATTAAGCAAGTGGCTTCCACTCTGGTGAAAAAAAGGTGCCCTATGGGAATCCACCATCCATTTTGATCAGGCCCTTGTGTTTTCAGCTAACTGCCTTTACAAGGCTCAGTGGAATGTCAATCAGCCTTTGAGCTGTTCATAATCTCTACTATATGAAAAGAGGTGGACAGAGGAGGACATTAATAAGAATACTTTGCAATTTTGTAATGTCATTTGCCTGGAAACCCAGGAGTGCTCACTCTCAGTCCCTGCAAAATATGACTATTGTCATTTATTATTGGCCTTCATAGCCTTGCTCTGGTGGTTTGTATCCTGGTTTGTCTTAGCTGTACCTTTCTCACAAAGAGAGAGCCCCAAGTAGTCCATAATCTTAACCCCCACATAGAATGAAAGTAAAATCAACACCAAAGTCAATGCCAGTCCATTTTAACAATTGATCAGAGAACCAAGTAGAACAGCTCCAATTAGCAGAAAAAAAATCAAAATGCCACCACTTGCCCAAATTTCATCAACCACTCTAGCAGCTGTCCCTTCTATGTAATATTGGTAACAGCTACTGGTAACCCAAGGATAAGAGTTACTAATCTAGGTTCTTGTTTTAGATTCCTGGAGTGAGTGAGTGTTAATTCACATATTCTAAGGACAAATTGGGCTGTCTGCTGCTAGTGTTACTCCTCTGTAAATGCCTGTTATCACAGTAGCATGGTTATAATTACTAATAAAGTGAACCTCAGAAGGGTAGGAGGTAGAGATTTATTTTAAATAAACCACTCATCAGATGGTAATCGCTTTGGGTCACTTGCAGCCGGGTCTGGATTTCAACCAGTGATCCGGCAGTGAAAGGTGCCTCAGCCAACTAATCACCCTTCGAAAGCCAGCTTTGTTGTTACTATTGCAAATGGCTTTATACCAAACACTGTCATTTCAGGTGCACTGCACTGGTCCACAACAGGGATCAAAAAGGATCTAGTTAATTCCTATTGGTTCAAGTCTTAGTCTATCTCTCAGTCTTATGGCTTGACCCCTTTGCACTCTCAAAACAACAGAAAGCTGCAGGCAGAGCAACAATAACTGATGGAGTGAGCTATGCTGCTAGACAAAATCAGAAGCTGTGCCTCTCCTTTGATCTAATTACACTCGGGAGGGAGATTGCCTGTGGCAAGCAGGTCTCTGTTAGTAGCAGTAGGTCAGATGATTATGGTTACAGTCATCCCAGGTAACCGTCACCCTTGTGCAAAGGGCCAGCACAGGGCCTAAGATCCACTTAGAACTGGGATTAAGTGGTATTTAGAGTGAATAGGCTTTGTGGTCGATACCTGCAGAGTGATTTTGACCCACCAGGACTAGGGGCTGCAGTCAATAATGGCACAGACGTATGGTAGTAAAGGAGGTATCGTTACACGTGACATTCAGTGGATGAGATGTTGCAGAGAGTAGCACACCTTTGGTAGCTGTCCAGGTGGAAGTTAAAGATCCTATGGCATGTTTCACAAAAGCAGAGGTTAACGCAACTATCCTGGACAACGCGCCCCATGTAAATTACACTGCAGTATAGTATCAGTTGGCCCATCATGCATAACTGAACCCCTAGGTGCTGATCCAAAGGCCACTGATGTCATTGGAAAGGCTCTCGTTGACTTAGATGGGCCTTTAAGTTGCAAGCTTCTCAGGGCACGGATCACATCTTTATTCCTTATGTAAAGTGACATGTGCCTCCAGGAGATCGTGTAACAATGTCAAGTAGGATTTTGCCTCAGTGGCCATGGCCCAAATTTCCCACCTCTACTGTTGTGCTGCGACCTACTTAGATGCATCATTCTACTCCGGAATCAGCTGTGCATCATTTTCCAGTGTGGTTGTGGATGAATACAGCTGTAAAGGCACTCTGAGATCCTTCAGGAAGAAAAGTGCAGAATAAACCACGTTATTACTAAAAAAGTTCAAAACTATTTCCCTCCGTCAGTGAGAAGATGAGAGCAGTGAGGCCCATGAAATTCCAGTTACTAGTCTTTTCAATTTATTTAATGTCCCAAACAATAGGCAAACTTAAGCAGCAAATTGGACTGAACTGAACAACAACTGAAATAAGTCTGCCTGGGGCAACACAGATGAGTTCTTTCCCTCTTACCATCCTCTCTCATCTCTGAGTTATATAATGTAGCAATACAAACAAGGGGTTCTGTAATCATCTGAGGCCTTAATCAGCTGTAGCCTCCTGATATTTATCCACCACATGGATCCTGCCACCACTGGCGATGGGCTGACAGCAGGGAGCATGAGTTGATTTTCCTTTCAGATATCTCCCCGCACATCTTCTTATTTTCAGGAGGAAACACGGGAGCCTGCTTTGGCACTTTACTCCTCTGGGGCTATAATCTGCAGCAGCCACAATCGAGTGTACAGAACTGTAGCCAGGCTTTGGGAGATTCAATTTGGAAGACTTTGTGGCACAGCACTACAGTGTCATCTCAGTATGTCACGTGGACACCAAGGGTCAGATCCTGAACTAAAGTCATTGGAGTTGTGCCAGTTTACACCTGCTGAAGACCTGGGTCCCAAAACGCAGCCAGGGAGGTCTGGTTTCCTTATACAGCATATGCTAAAGTGATGGGTTAGGAAAACATGAGGATAGAGATCACATTCATATATCCCTAGATTCATAGTTTCCAAGATGAGACAGCACCACTGTGACCATCCAGTCTGACCTTCTGTATAACACAGGCCATAGAACTTCCCCAAACTAATTCGTAGAGCAGATCCTTTAGAAAAAACAGCCAATCTTGATTTAAAAATGGTCAGTGATGGAGAATCCACCATGACCCTCGGTAAATTGTTCCAATGGTTAATTATTCTCACCTTTAAAAATGTATGCCTTATTTCCAGTCTGAATTTGTCTAGCTTCAACTTCCAGCCACTGGATCTTTTTATACCTTTCTCTGCTAAATTAAAAGGCCCATTATTCAATATTTGTTCCCCATGTAGATACTTATAGACTGTAATCAAGCCATCCTTTAACCTTCTTTTTGTTAAGCTAATTAGATCGAGCTCTTTGAGTCTTCTCACTACGAGGCAGCTTTTCTAATCCTTTAATCATTCTGGTGGCTCCTCTCTGAACCCTCTCCAATTTATCAACATCCTTCCTGAATTGTGGGCATCACAACTAGACAGTCTTAGAGCAGCAGTAACACCAGGGCCAAATACAGAGGTAAAAAACCTCTCTGTTCTTACTTGAGATTCCTGTTTATGCATCCAAGGATCGCATTAGCTCTTTTGGCCATAGCATCACATTGGGAGCTCATGTTCAACTGATTATCTAGCACAACCCCCAAATCTTTTTCAGAGTCACTGCTTCCCAGGATAGAGTCCCCCATCCTGTAAGTATGACCTACATGCTTTATTCCTAGATGCACACATTTACATTTAGATGTATTAAAACTCATTTGTTTGTGCCCAGTTTACCAAGAGATTCATATTTCTCTGAAGCAGTGACCTATCCTCTTCATTATTTACCACTCCCCAAATCTTTGTTATTTGCAAATTTTATCAGTGATTATTTTATATTTTCTTTCAGGGCATTGATAAAAATGTTAAATAGCAAAGGGCCAGGATCCTTGGCCTCCAATCCCTGTGGGACCTAACTGGAAACCCACTCACTGAGATGATGATTCCCCATTTACAATCACGTTTTGAGACTCATCTGTTAGCCAGTTTTTAATCAATTTAATGTGTACCATTTTGATTTTATATCATTCTAATTTTTTAATCAAAATGTTGTGTGGAACCAACTCAAATGCCTTACAGATGTCTAAGTATATTAAGTCAGCACTATTGACTTTACCTATCTAAACTTATAATCTAATTAAAAAAAGATAAATTAGTTTGACAGGATCTATTTTCCATAAACCCATGTTGATTTGCATTAATTTCATTACCCTCCTTTAATTCTTTATTAATCAAGTCCCGTATGGGCCTTTCCATTATCTTGTCCAGGATCGAAGTCAGGCTGACAGGTCTATAATTACCTGGGTCATCCCATTTATCCTTTTAAAACGCTGGCACATTATCATCTTTCTTCCAGTTTTCTGGGACTTCCCCAGTGCTCCAAGATTTATTGACAATCAACATTAACGGTCCAGAGAACTCCACAGCCAGCTCTTTTAAAACTCTCGGACGCACATCATCTGGACCTGCTGATTTGAACATGTCTAAGATCAGTAGCTTCTGTTAAACATCCTCCAGACAGATTAGTGGAATGGAAAGAGTGTTATCACCATAGGACGAGACTGTATCGTCTGTTTTTCCCCCAATACAGAACAGAAATATGTATTGAATACTTCCACCTTTTCTGTATTATTATTGATAATTCTAACATTTCCACCTAGTAATGGACCAATACCACTGACAGAATTCTTTTTGTCCTGAATATATTTAAAAATACTCCTTCTTACTGTCTTTAAGTCTTCTGACCCATAGCTTTCGTCTTGTGTTCCTTTGCTTCCCTTATCAATTTTCTACAGTCCCTAATTTATTATTTATATTCATTACTATCAACTTCCCCTTGCTTCCATTTGTTATACATTTTATTTTTATTTTTTATAGCTGCCTTCACTTTACCTCTAAATCAGGTGGTTGTTTTTTAACCAGCACTGCCTTTTTTCTCAGTTGTGGGATTTTCTCTTTCAGGGCCTCTAGTAAGGTGTTTTAAAATGATTCCCAGTTATCACTGAAATTTTTCAAATTAAATTCTTCCTCCCAGCTCATTTGGCTCATAATTCTATTCAGCTTTGTGAAATCACGCTATTAAGTATATATATTACTGAACATTATTCTGCTTCCACGTTATAAATGTGAACCAGTCATGATCACTTGTATCTAAGCTACACTTTATTTTTAGTTCTGTAATCAGTTCCTCTTTATCTGTTAAGACAAGGTCTAATATAAATTCCCCTGTGTTGGCTGCATTACTTTTTGAGTTAGGAAATTGTCATCTATAATGTTTAGAAATTCCAAGGATGTTTTAGTTTTAGTATTGGCAGCATGAGACCTCCAGCATATGTCTCTCAAATTGATGTTCTCGCATGATCACAAAGTTTTTTCCCTACACGTTATCAATAAGTACGTAAGGAGGTGGTCATCCTGTTTCATAGTGTAATTTGGTGGTCTGTAACAGACACCAACTAATATCCCATCTTGTGCTTTATCTGTTAGCACTCTGATCCATAAGCATTCAAGATCATTTTCTTCCAAGTTATCAGTGAGTCAAACAGGTAATGCCATTTTTCACATAGAGTGCCACTCCACCTCCTCTTTTGCCCACTTGATCCTTCCTAAATTGGTTTTAACATTCCAATCATGTTTACCATCAAACCAGGTTTTTACCAATTAGATTGAATTTATGCTAAAGAATGAGCAATTCCAATTCATTGTATTTATTACCTAGAATCCTAAGATTGGTGTATAGACAATTCAATAATTTCTTCTCTTTATGTCATTTGGTTCTTTCACTAATTTTGTTTTCAGCCTTTCTATTTTGCTCATATCTCCCCCCTTTGTTCATCCCCTTTTGCTTTTAGTTTAATCCCATTCTGAGTACTCTAGCCTGCCTGTCCTCAAGGAGATTGGTCCCCTTTCTCCTGCGGTGGAGGCCATCTAAAATATACAGCTCCCTCTACCCATAGAAGGTGGACCAATGTTCCATGAAACCCTACACCACTTACTTTGCCAGCGGTTCACTACCAGAATCATCTGTCTTTTTTCACTCATGGGACAGGAAAAATCTTGAAGCAGATTGCTTGGATATTCTTCTTCATCACATTGCTGAGTTCCCTGCAGTAATCTACTATCTGTGCGATATCCCATGACATGGTATCATTAGTATGGATCCTGGTCTGTCGACTTCAGAAGGCTATCCAATCTTAAAAGAGTGATGTCTAGTGTCTTGCCTCTGGGAAGGCAGCACACTGTTCTGTTGTCTGTTTGTCCTTTGCAGAATGTTCTTTTGGTTCTTCTGAGTATTGAATACCCAACAAGGATCATCTTTCTTCCTAGAATGGTTGGATGACAATTTTGCAGGAAGCTTGATTTTCTTACAGGTAGGGACAAACTGCCATCCACGTATGTGTCCTGTACACCTCTCCATTCCCTTGGATCTACCGGATCTTAAGATGTATCTTCCAAAGTATTTATGTTGAGGACCTGGTATCGATTTGAAACTTCTAGCTGTGTGGAATTCCTCCGGGTCCTCTTCTCTCTGGTGGTCACAGTCTGCTCATTCTCATCTGTCTCTAGCCATGTAGAATGCCACAGTGACCTCTTGCCTCTGGTGGTTATGAACCACCAGGCCTCCTCTCTGACTTCACTGTATACCCCAATTGCGTTGGGTTTGCTTGTCCTAAATGTTCTCTCATGATACATCCTCCCTTTCCTGTGGTTCTTTAGCTTTTCTTAATATTTGGACAGGATAGTGCCAACAACGTATCAGGCACTTTACAGATAGATGAAAAGACATGGCCTTTGCCCCCAAAGAGCTTGTGCTCTAGACAGACCACATACAAATGCAAGGGGGAGGAAGGCCGGCAAGAAAAAGTAGGGTGAATGTGTAGAGCAGTGTGACACTCAGACTTATTGCTTCCATGATATTATGGACATTTATATTGTGAACACTTCCCTGTGCAAGGACTAGGGCTTGTCAGAAGAGGTGTGTTTAAGGAGGACCTTGAGGAACCCCCCTCCCCCCCGCTTCATAATATAAGCTAACTTCTAACTATTGGGGTCAGGAAGGAAACCACCTCTGCGGACAGGTTATTCCTTAACCTACTGTGGGGTTTCTTACACCTTCCTGTGAAACATTCAGTGCTGTCCACTGTCAGTGATAGGATCCTGGATTAGATGGACAATGGATCTTATCCAGTCTGGCAACATCTGTGTTCCTCGGAGGAACAGGCAGAGGTGTTGCCAAGCAGGTCAGGTGAGGGCTCCGGGCACAAGGACTATACTTTCTTCTATGTCTCTCATATTTCATCTCTCTCCTTTAACATTTGAAACAATCTCCATAACACTCGCCCTGTGCTAGTTTCTGCCTCACCCTTTCTGCTGTGCCCACATGATTGCCCTCCTTCCCGCTCTTTCCCAGGACTTCCTACTGTGGCACTGGCCACTGCTTATCGCAGACATTTGCTGTCAAATATAAAGTGCTGAGTCCCCATGCAGGAGGAGTTCAGTGTTGCTGTTTCAAAAGCACTGAACACCTTTGCAGATCCCAATGGGATGAATTCTACTGCTGCTTGTGTGAGGTCTATGTCTTTTGTACTGGGTGACACTTCATGCGTGATTAGGTGAAGGAAACTACCTGCTGCAGGAAACAGAATTTATGCTTGGCCCTGTAGCTCTTTCAGTTGGCATGTGATGCTCAAGCTTTCAAGTTGTGCTAAACAGAAAATAAAACCTCACAACAATGCCATGCATTTGGAATGCAGCACAAGCTGGAAACTTGCAGACGATCCCTGCAGGGTCTGCTCCAAAGTGCTCTCCTACCCACTGTGAATCAGACACAAAGAGGGCTGCAGAACAGACACTAAGGGTTAAATACTTCCCCATAATAATGGAAGTTCACACCTAGTGCCCCAGGCTCACAGCCATTCTAAAGGGGGGCAAGTCGCAATTTTTATAACAACCATCACTGGGAATCAAACCAGGCTAAAAGTATGAGCCTCTAGAGCAGGGGTGGCCAACCTGAGCCTGAGAAGGAGTCAGAATTTACCAATGTACATTGCCAAAGAGCCACAGTAATACGTGAACAGCCCCCCATCAGCTCCCTGCTCACCGGCAGCCCCACCGATCAGCGCCTCCCCTCCCTCCCCGCACCTCCTGATCAGCTCTTTCTTGGAGTGCAGGAGGTTCGGGGGGGCGAACCTGGAGTCGGTGCCTATACAAGGAGCCGCATATTAACTTCTGAAGAGCCGCATGTGGCTCCGGAGCCACAGGTTGGCCACCCCGCTCCAGAGCTTTAGCTAGGCCTACCTCCCTTAGCTGGGAGGTGTATCAGAGCTGTGGTTCTCTGGGGGTCAGAACATGGAACACACACTAACCAGTGGGTTACCCAGAGCTCCTTTTAAGTTACATGGATAATTGTCTTAGTCTTGCCGTTCACTTAATTGTTTGACAAAGAGCCTTCTTCCCCCTTCCCCTCCCACCTTCATAGTCTATTTTGACTGACTATGACTATTTATAGACCAAGCAGAATTGCGTTATGACCCTGACGCATGATTAATGGCTTCTAGTTTGGATGACTGATCGCCTACATCAGCTTTAATCACACTGGCTTCATTTGCTATTGAATCATCTGGAAATGGCACTTGTGGCTCACCATATAACAACATGCAACAAGACAGGCAGAAACATAAAATTCTCCACTGGTTGGCTTACCTATGTCTGAAATCTTTATTTCTGACAGACGGCAGGAAAGCAGGGAATAGAAGAAAGTATGAGGTGTTAGTGGCTGAGTTAGAAGCATTATTAGCAGATTGAAAACTTGACAGTAACTGTACCATACAATGCAATAATAAATAAAGACTTAGCAGGCATGACACTGATATACTTTATATTGGATATTACTTGTCAGTGAGTTCACTTATGTACTGCTGCATATCATACAGGAAGTATGATCTCACCAGCTCAGAGGTACTCATTTATGCAGGAGATGGGGCCAGGCACACTTCACACACAGACACACAGACACTCACTACATTTAATTATCTGTCATGGAATATAATGTCAGGATAGAAGCCTGTTTCTTTAGTAAGCTTTACAGCTTTTTCACTGTCGCTGATTGTGGTTCTTTCTATTTTACAAGGCAATATATCAGCAAAATTGTTCTGGCCAGCTTCTTTTATGTTCACTGCCTGAATCTCAGAGACACCATGGCAGAGAATTCAAGTAGGATTTTTTTTTCTTGGGCCAAGTTACATACCCCATTGTAATTAGCTGGAAGCCACAGTGCAGCTGCCTCTCCTCTCCAGAAAAGAGCACTGCACTCTAATGAGAGACTGTGCCGAACAGGGGGGGTATGAATCTCAAAGGAAATGCTGCTTGAGGAGGCTCTGATACAATCCATTTAGGCCAAAACAATGATTTGCTCCCCCATAGCTTTTAGTCAGCCTGCATCCGTACCCATTTAGTTTATAGCACACCAGAGTGAAGAAGTGCTTTTTTGGCCCCCGTAACCTAAGTGTTTGCACAGATAAAACAGTAATGGCTCCACCAGGATTAACATGGGAGTAAATTAAACTTCGTGGCTCTTTGGAGAATCCAACAAGGTCACTCTTTCAAGGTTTCCAATTTGCTCTTTTGCAATCAGGGACTGTTCAACCAAACCTATACGCACAGGGTGTTTCTAACAGTGCTGAAATACAAAAAGAACTCAGGGTAGGATTTCCAAAAATGCCTAAGGAAGTGAGGCACACAACTCCCATGCAATTACCATGGGGTTTGGGCACCTATCTGCCTTAGGCTCCTTTGGAAATCACAGCCTCCACCACTAAAATAACCTTTCAGCACTGGAAGGATGCTATGCACCTTAATGTAGGCCACCATGGAATCATTCCTCAATATTTGGAGTCCCACTCCTGGTATCTTACTCAAGCTGTGGCTTGCTCAGAGAAGTGACTGTAAATATGTTATCATGGAGTTCCTTGTTTGTTGACTCTCCATAATTTCCATATTGAATGAGCTCAGGTAACATAGAAAACGCCATGTCTTCTAAGTGCCAGCCCTGGGATCTCAGTCTGGATTCTTTTCTGCTTGTACATCAGCACCCATAATAAATTAGGCCCTCAGTGGCACGCAATGAACGTCTGTGGGTTTGCACAGGTGTACTGACTAGTAAACAATTCTGTTGCTGATGCGCAAGAAAAAACAGACTCTAGCACACTCTCTTTTAGAAGCGTTGATTCCTCAGGGCGAAAAGGAGTATAACGCAATGCAACCTTGGGCACTGATCCTGCAATCAGCTGCAGTTAAGTCAATTAAGGTCCTCCCATGTGAAACTCGTTGTAGGACTGGGGCCGTATTTTTGTCAGCAGACATGGCTCTAAATACAAATCTGCTGAGTAAGTAGGGACCATTTTTACAGTCATGTCTCAGGGGAGTGAGAAGTATCACACTTTTAGGCCAAATCTTGGGAGATGGCAGGCACCTGCATCTTCTGGGAGCTATGGGTGCTCAGAGCGTCTCAGAAACTGGCTCTTACAAGTATCCTGTTAATAGTGAAAAGATTAACCTATGCCCATTTCCCTTACATCCCATTGGGATGCTGTACATTATGGATGAGTTCTTGGTAGCTGTTTGTGTGTGTTGGCAGGAGGGGTTTGGTATGTTTGGGTTTCAAAAATGCAATGAATACTTTCACCAGAAGAAAAGCAGAGAAATAAGCATTTTGGAACTGCACACCAAAAGGGAAGCATTGGGCACGTAGGCACTAAAGCTGTGGAGTGCTGTTTCAGAGTGTTAAAAATAAAATCTTATAATGTAGCATCCCACAGTCTGTGACTGGGATTTGCCAGATAACAAAATGCCATTTAAAACAAAGAAAAACTGCATGGATTTCTGTCAATAGGTTAGTCAGCATAAAAAACTGTAGCAACCTGTCTTTATCCTCATGTGTGCAATGTACTGGTTAATGAGTGCTTGGACCAAAGCATATCACTGACTAGACATCTTGACACACATATCCATGTAAAACTCCCAATACAGAATTATTCCCCAAAGGACAGTTTAATCTCCAGTCGTTACAAACATGTTGTATTAGGGCCCGATCCAAAGCCCACTGAAATCATTGGTTAGGTTCCCATTGACTTCACTGAGTTTCAGATCAGGCTTTTAAGGCAGAGTCATTGAGCCTGATTCAGACGTCACTTACACCAGTTTAACTCTATTGACTTCCATGGAATTAATCCTGGGTAGCCACAGCATGAGATCAGAATCAGATCCACTGCCTTCAACAAGGCAGTGTGTTTGTCATGAAATGTCTGGGAGGGAAAAATATCACAGATGAGTCAACATGAATTTTGACTCAGTCACAATATATTTTATTTCATCAAAATTTATGACGCATCTGTAGTCCGTCTCGTCCCCTCCCGATTTTCTTCCCTCCCCTCTTTTGTGCATGCTGCTTTGCAAACCTCCCTCTTCCTCCTGGAAGTTTTCTCTTCACTTTTCTGCAGGGGCGAGTGGCAGCACTTCATCTCCCTGCAGGGGAGATGACAGAATTTCTTCACCCAGCCCCTACCTTTCAGTGGAGAATTCGCTAGGGGTGTTTGTATGTTCGTCCCAAAAAACTCACCCGGAAGTCACAGACTCTGGGAGTTCCTTGGTGAGCTCACTGTTCTAGGTATGAATGATCCTCTGTCCTGAGTACTCATGGAGTACTCTACATATCATCATTAGTGATGTATGTCCTTCCAAGTGTAGGTTATCCCGGAGGCTGACTGTTAATTTTTAGAATTCCCACTAGTCTCTCACCAGACTAAGGAGGACACATTAACTCAGTCTGAGTTAGCTGGTAAGAAATGCGCTAGACTATGTTGGGCCCGTGACTCAATCCTGGATGAATTCACCAGGCCGCACACCTTCTTGGTGGAAGTCGAAGTCCGTGGACTTGCACCAGAGGTGAATTTGGCCCATTCTGTTCATTTGAAAAAAAGAGTTTTGGTGTCATTTTCCCTCTGGGTACATAAAATTTCTGCAGAATCAAAGGTGAACAATTATCACGGGCTGCAAGCTGCCTGGTGTACCTGAGCTCCAGTATATTGGTGACATTCCCAGAGGGAAAGATCCTTCGGATGTAGTTGAAGTCTCCAACATAAAGGCTTCCATCAGACCCGCATGTTAGGGCAACAGGAGCCAGGAGCTTGTTCCCATCTGCAAGGCCATTACAGCTCGGACAGGAAATGCTACGCCTGCGTCCATTGCCCATAATGCTTCCTATGACAGGTGGCTGCTGAGAGACAAATTGGTTTTCCCCATTTCCTTTATGCAAGATGCCTAGAAAATGATAAGAGCAGAAAGGGAGTTAAAGACAGATGGTGAAACTGAAGCACATGGAGGGCAAGTGACTTGCTCCAGGACACAGAATGAATCAATGGCAGCAGAGGAAATAGAACCTTGACATCCCAGCTTCCAGACTCATGTTGCACTACACCACAAAGAGCTCTCTCCAGGGTTGTCTCTCGTTCTCATGGGATCCTATGAAAAATGACATGTCCAGTGCCCGTGCCAGGTTGCTGTAACATCTAGAGCACAGTGTTTCTCAGCCTTTTCAGGTTGCCGCCCCTCCCCCCCACTTACTCTAAAGATATATCAATTCTAACAATGATCAGCCTCTGTAATTTATTTGTGTGGGTGTTTCAAGGGGTTGGCAGAGATGACTTGAAGGGTAAGAGTGAGTGGCTAGGTTGGAGACCAAGCTTTTCTTTGCTTTAGAGTGTAATAAAATGTCCAATGCCTCACAATCCTCTGATTGCTATTCGGAGCCCTCCTGGGGGTTGCGACCATGGGTTGAGAAACACTGTGATGCCACTTGTGGAGACTGGAAGGTCAAGATAATTGTCACTAGTGAGAGAGGGTATCCACTGGGTTGTCTGCTGGCAAGGGACATTCACTTAGGAAAATCTGGGTGGAGTGTTAACTGGGGTAGGTTTCATCAGCAGGGCCCAGGGGAACTGATATGTTGTTTGTGAGAAGACCAGGAACGTTTTCATTAGTGGTCCCGTCTGAACTCTCTCCATACTCACTACAATCACACAGGATAGTGCAAACTTTCCATTCTTTGGCCATGTTCTAGTCATTCTGTCCAGCTCAATGCCCCGTCTCTAAATACTCATCATGCACTAAGGAATGTAGATGTTACTGTTTCAAAGAGAGCTGAGCTCTAGCAGAGCCGCTGGCCACAGAAGTTGAGGGGTGGGAAGCCTTCTGAATCTGAGTAATTAGGTTTGCTTGAGCAGGATGGAAGTCATATTGGACAGGTTCTCCTCAGGTCCACATTCCAAGCTGCGTTCTCACCACTGGCAGCAAGGGTGATTATTATGCCATGCTTTGCTGTGTGTGATTGTATTCGGTGGGTTTACTTTCAATGGGGTCGACAAAGGATGGACCCTATCTGACCGTGTGCATACGTTGCATGTGCTTATGTAGGGTTCAGCCTTGGAACTTTTTTTTGATGGACATCATACAATTCAATACCATTCCTTACAGGTAGCCCAAAGCTGGGGCTGCACACTTCGTAAAAATATACAACAGATTTACAGCAGCTGATTCCTTTCAGATTTGCCCATACAAAAGCTGCCACTAAATGTAGGTTACAATGAATAATTTGTGAGTAGCGTGTGCATGTGTGTGTTTTCCCTTTGGCTGAATTATTAATGGTGAAAAGCAACAATGCATTGTACTGCTGCATCACCCTGCTCATGCCATTTGTTAAAGCCAACCCACCAGTCTGTATGTTGAGGGCATGGTGTTTGTCCAGGGACCATCCTCCAAGTTTGGAAGCGTCAATTTCATAACCCTGAAGGACTGCCGTCCTCTTCTCCCACAGGATCAGATCAGGACATGATTCATATTCATAGCCCACGGAAACTGGGAGCAAAGGGGAAAAAAAGAAGCCCATAGGTTAATAACCTCAGAAATGCACATTCAGCACACAGCTGAGAGCTTTAATTAGGTGATTAGGTGGGGGAAAGGCCATTTCTACAGGCAAGTGCCAATTCTATTTAAAATACCATCACATTAATGCAGTCTTAATATTCTCCTCTTTAAAGGCCACTTGGCATAAAAAAAGGTCAACACAGCAGTAGATGTTGGACAAATGTGCTAAATATTCAAAAGGCACCAACTCACAGACACAATTCAAAGCAATGGGTGACCCATGGGTTTAGCAAAAATGGTCCCAGAATTCCAAAATGATAGTATGTTGCTTCTGTTCATTACCTCATGTCCTAAGGCTGGCTGGCAGTGATGCAGTGGGCTGAGGCAGAGAAACATGGCCCAGCTTAGAAAACAAAACATAATCCAAGCAGGTCGAAATCAGTAAACTCCATTAAAGTTGACAGACAGACTGGAGATTAATTTGGGGCAGGATCACTAATACAGACAAAATGGGCGAGTGTGAGTTGGTTTTCATAATGTTCAGAGAGTCTTTAGGCCTCACTGACCTCCCTTTCATTGGTGTAAATCACGAATAACTTCATTAAAGGTAATATAGTTACATCACTGTAAAATCAGTTTGAGTGAGAGGAGAATCAGGCCCATTATTTTACTGAACACCTACAAGAAGACTTCAGGTGAAACATGCTTTCCTCAAGAGCAGTAAGACCCAAAACCCAGTTCACCACTAGTACCTGAAGCAGAGCTGGGATCTTCAGTTTTACATTGCTTAGGAGACAAGGGAAAAGCAGGGTGTGGAACAATTCTTGGCAGGTACAATAAGGGTCTGATCTTGCAAGGGGCCCAGTGTCTCCTGAGAAGTGCTGAGCACTGACATTAGGAATTCTGCAGGATCAGACTGGACAGGAGAAATATGCAGTACAGGGAACAGTCTTGCATTGGCAGGGGGATGAGTTGCATTGAACAATTAAAAGGCCTTTTCCGCCTCTTTCTGCAAAGATTCTGTTTTCAGCTCTTTTGACGAAAAAATATATTTATTTATGTGTACTCAGCTAGTAATGTGGCATTTTAAACCTTTGGGCGCCTTTGGAGGTTTCCTGAATAATACAAAAAAAACCCCAAACCAGACACAGGTACAAAGTGAAGGGTGTCTTGTAGGTATCTGCCAGAAATAACTTTATTATATAAGAGCATAAACCTTTTAGTGCCTCCTTTTCAGACCCTGCCTCTAATTTCACCCCCACTAATCAGGTAGGGAGGCAGCTAAATTCTAGCTGCAACTAACTGTGAATGTGAGATGGGGGACAGGTTGAGGCCTTCATAAAAATCTGGCCCCCACGTCACACTAGGTAGGTAATTATTTCTCTATGAATAAGGCCCTACCAAATTCATGGCCATGAAAAATGCGTCACGGACTGTGAAATCTGGTCTCCCTGGGAGGAGACCAGCGTTTCTCAAATTGGGGGTCCTGATCCAAAAGGGAGTTGCAGGGGGGTCACAAGGTTATTTAGGGGGTCACGGTATTGCCACCCTTTCTTCTGTACTGCCTACAGAGCTGGGTGGCTGGAAAGCGGCGGCTGTTGGCCGGGTGCCCAGCTCTGAAGGCAGCCCCTGCCTGCACCAGCACAGAAGTAAGGGTAGCAGAACCGCAACCCCCCGACAATAACCTTGTGACCCCCACAACTCCTTTTCGGGTCAAGACCTCTACGATTACAACACCGTGAAATTTCAGATTTAAATAGCTGAAATCATTAAATTTACGATTTTTAAAATCCTATGACTGTGAAACTGACCAAAATGGACCGTGAATTTGGTAGGACCCTGACTATGTGTTATCTGTACATGTTGCTCCATCCAGAGCATCACCTATGCAGTGTTACAGGGTCTCATAAGCCTCAGCAGGCCACGTCAACCAGCCTCTCCCAAGGAAGCTTAGCCTCATGTATAAGTGGGAATAAGAGACTCACTCTCTCTCTGCAGACTGAGACAAAGAGCCCCCTGCTGTCCTCCTGAGAGGCATATCTCCACTCAGGCTACAGGGGAGCAAAGAGGAGTCTAGTTGTAGGGCTGTAGTTATCCCTGAATTGCTCCAAGGGCAACAAGGAGGAACAGGATCAGGGGTGGATGTCTGTTGTTTTAAAACAACAGTGGAGACACGGGGGCAGGGGGGCTCTTCATCATGCTGTTGCCATTGCCAAGGCCTGATCTACTCCGCCTGGCTGAACTCTATTTCAGAGCTGTGAGCTAAGGACCATGGCTCCTTTAAAGATTCCTCTGGCTGACTGTCGATCAGACAGGGAGCAACCAGCTGCGGCACAGAGCAGTCACTATGCATGCTCAGTGCTCCCCCGCCCCCACTCTGATATCCTTTCTACTGCAACGATTGACAGACATGGCATTTGGCCTGGGTGGGCTCTGTGATGTCCGTGAAAAGGGGAAGGAGCTGTAGCCATACAAGTGTTACATGGGCAGCACAGAGGAAGCTTCCTCCTTCTGTACGACTTCAACTTCTTCAGCTGCAGTGTTAAGGAAAAGTTAGCACATGTGACTCCATTTTGGTTTGGGGCCCACCATTGTCTAAAAGCAAGCACATCATACACCAGGAGGAGTGATCCTTAGATACTGAATCCCTGTGAAAATCCTCCTCCTTGTCTCCAGCCTGCCTTGACTTCCAGTATCTGTTTTTTGTCAGTCTCTAACTCCCTATCTCTTGGCCTTTGATGTGAGGCCTCCCATCCTGATAATAAAAGTTACTGATGCATGGCTTTAGGACCATGCTGTGTAATTAACATACTGGTTTAGCGGGAGGAATGCACCAAGCAGGGATAGGTGGTAGATAAGACAAGGGTTTGTTTATTGGTTAAGGTTTCCGATGCATGAGGGCAACATGCTTTGCTAAAAAGTATATAACCTTTGTATAATCTGTATTCAGGGTCCCCTCCTGGCTAGCAGGGGGGGCACCACGCTTGAGCGTAATAAACTTAGTGTCTTTTGGGAACTCTGCAGTTGTAGACTTTGTTTATGTGCCTCAGCCTAGATTCGAACTGTGCATGACCTATCAGGTATAATTCGCAGCATTGGTGTGCGTGTCCAACCAGGTGTAATTCATAGCATTTGTGTGCGTGTCCTCTCAGGTGTAATTCGTAACAGTTTTAGCGACCACGAAGGGACTCTAGGCTCGCCCCAACAAGCGAGACTACACTCCTCCTCTCGGACAGCTCCAGCCGGCACAGGGTGAGTTCACCTTTGAGAACTCCGAGGAGGGGGGGTGTGAGGGGTGTGAGCCGTCGCTTAGGCGATAAGGTGGCACATTTGGTGTCCCTTTGGCAGCCCATTATGGGTTCTGGGCAGAGTGTAAGTAAGGGGACCCCATAGGCTGAAATTCTCGAGAATTGGGGGAATATTTCTGGTACCCATGCGTTAGGTAAAAAAAAAAAAAAGCTGTAATCTTGTGCAAGGTTGAGTGGCCAGCACTAACAACTCAGCCACCTTTTGACTGGCCACCTTTTGACTGGCCACCTTTTGACTGGCCACCTTTGCTGGGGAAAAATTAACAGCGCTTAGGAAAAGGCTGGAAAACAAAGCTCCAGCCCAGATGGATTATTGGTATGTATGGAACAACTGGGCTTATGCGCATGCGAAAGGACGTCCTCTTTCCTCCTCCTTTTCTTATTCATCTCAGGGGTCTCCAGCCCCGCTCTGTGCTATGCCTGCTTCTGCCCCTCCTCCGGCTTACCCTCGGCTTTCTGACTTATGCCCGTCACCTCCTTGCTTGCCAATTAGCCGTGCTTTCTGTTCAGGTGACAAGCCTCATGGGGGGAGGACTCGGGTAGCCCTTGTAAGTGAAAATATTTAAGAAAAAAGACCAGGAGGGCTGGGGACTAGTTAGGCAGCCTTGTTAATTTGTTATTGAAACAAAGCTGGTGCTCATGGAAAGAACAGTTCAGAGAGAAAAACAGGATCGGGCCCAAGCAGGCAGGCAACAGATAGAGAGACTGGAAAACACGTTGGAAACTTGGAGGTCATAGTGGAAAAAGAGGAGTAAATAATTACAGGAATGGAAAACGTAAATCCCGGAATAATACTTGGAATGGTAAAATCTAAGTTAATTAGGTGTCGTTTTGGGAAATAAGCAAGTGATTTAAGAAAGGAAAGTAAGAAGTTAACTCTGTAGTTGCTGGAAAGAATTAAGCAGTTGAACTTTGTGAAATACTGGAAAGAAAAAGAATTCTTGGCTTTTTTGCAGCCATTTTGGAAAAAATGGGCCCTTTTCCAAAGAAATGCAATTATACAGTGCTACTTAATTAATATGTTATTAGGCTCCAAAGGGCTACAATAGGTGGTGTCTTCCTTTTCAGGTCACTGTGTGTTTGACAGCGGGAGTTAAAAGTAAAAGGCAATCAAAAGTCTGGTAAAGTTTATTGTGCCCTTTTTAAAGTAAGAATCTTTAACCTGTGGATCCAAAAGCAAGCTGGAAAGCATTTGTTTTAATGTAAATTACCTAACTGATAAGGTAGAGGCCACTGAAACCTGGGCTGCCTATAAAACAAATACAAGAAAATATGGGTAATTCCTCTGTTTTGCCTGCAATTAACAAGGGTATTTGTATAAAAAGGAAATATTTTAAGCAATGACTGACTGCACAAAAGGGGTATATCTGTGGGTTTTTTTTTGCCTTTCAGAAAATCAGAGAAAACTGATGCCAGCTGAAAAGCAATTCAACATCTCATGAATTTACTGGCACAATAGGAATTCTGTTCTGTGTTCTATGTCCTATCTTGTGGTGTTTGTCTTGTGGCCAGAATTGCTGTTTAATTTTTCATAGGACAGTTTAGTTTAAAACTAAATAGAAGGGTTAAATCAAAATGCAGATACTTGTTTTATTCAACTTGGAATACAAAGTGTTTGGATAATATCAAAAAAATATGATATACTAAAGTTTAATACATTTGCTTAAGTAAAAAAAAAAATTTCATTGGCCAGATCTTTTAATTGAAAAAAATTGTTGTTAAAATTTGCACACCAACAGTCTTTGGAAGCAAGGACATGAAAGGTTAACCCACTCCTCATATTATACATGAGATCCTTCTGACTACCTCACATTTCTAGCCAGAGGGCTGGGGAGGGAGGAAAGCTATTGGACACCAGAGGTTGTACCAAGTGGACTCCTCAAAAGTGGGTGTGCTTGTCCTGGCTTGTTGCTCCAAAGCTCTGTAATAAAGTCATTTTCCTGGAAGGGTGTATGTGGCATACATTAAACAATAAGACTAAAGTGCTGTATAATGGGCAATGTACATGTGTTCCTTTTTAAACAAAGGTGTATGAGTAAAAAGTGAAAGTTTCCTTTGCAAGTTAATAAAAGCCAAGAAGGGGAAAAGAAATAAAACGGAGGACGAGCTAATTCAACGCTGCAGCTGGCAGGCTCGGTCCAAAGATAAGACACTGGCCTGCCCAAGGATAGTACTCACAGCTAGGATTTGGCTAATAGCCAAGAAAGAGGGGGGCTTGAATGTGCCAAGCAGCTGTGAGATCTGCAACACACTGCCAGACATTAATGAAATGTGTTAGGTCTCTGTATTTACAGGTAAAAGAAGTCTTGCTTCAAGAATCCTGAGCAAACCTGCCATTTGTTAAAACCAGGCGCCTGGGTCTAAATAAAGGTCCATCAACAAAAGACTACTCTGGCCCCATGCTGGAAAGGCCCTTATTAAGTCCTGCTAACTACCAACACTGCTGTGAAGTGCCAAGGAGTGACTGCCTGGACCCATGCTTCTTACTGCAAAAAGACCCCTCCACCTTGAGATGACTTCACTTTGACTACTGATCAGCCTGTCCCTCCTGGGTTTTTTTTTTCTTTCCTCCTTTTGAACAGCAGAAAAAAAAAACAAGGTGAAGTGCTAGTAACCTCGCCCTTGTCCACTGACAAAGCTAACCTGCATTCAGTATTTGCTAAAGAAACCAAAGCACTACAGGATGACGTGCTAGTAACCTCTCCCCTGTATAATGCAAAACCATGACTGTTCCAAGAAAAAAGAAAAAACGCCTGCTCTGCTAAAACCACCAAAATCCAAGGATTCCTGACTGCAAAAGACACTGAGAATTGGCCTTAATGGCAAAAACGGAGCATTGTACATTGGCAGGGAGGAAGTTGCGGGATGTATTCTTGGGAATGTGAAGTGAAGTGGTGGGGTGGGTTTATTCCAGAGGCTGGAACATGTGCTTGTAGGCAAGTATAAATACCAAAAACGCCTTACAGCCACGAACATTACTCCCACCATCTGCCACCACTCCTTTGCAGGTAAAGGTTCCTGGATCCATTATAGCTACGTTAAGTTGGTGCTGGGACCCCCACCTGACCCTGACAAGCCATTGGACGAGCCACTTCACGAATGAACACCACGACCAACCCATGGACTAAACTTTCCAGCTACTGGGACCTTCACAGCCCACCAGGACTTTTTGTGTTCCTGTTTATTGGACTTGCATTGAGGGTAGTGTTTTTTGTATGATATAAAGGAGGATGCCGACATTGGTATGGTTTGCCTGTGGGGTTCCTCTCCCTATTCCCAAGTCCAGTACAAGGATGGGAGGGCAATAGCTTCTTAAATTTAACCCGCACTATCAAACAGGGTGTAAATCGAATGCAGTGTTGGATTTGTATTCATACCCCCACATATTTTGGTCAGGGGGTCCCGTTGGTAGGGGTACCTATCCCCCTTAATCAAACACTCCAAACTAAGCTATGGGCAGACACTACATTTAACTGGAATGTTACAATCCAAATATGGTCTATTGATATGGTGGCCCAGGGTAATTCTGCTTTATGTGTGTCATGACGTAAGGGCATAGAAAATACAGTTTTTGTAGGGAATTTTGTGGGGTGCAAGAACACCACCCAAATCAGCTCTGGTGCGGGAGGCCCCTCTACCTACTCCAGGACCCCGTGGCCAGTCCCCGAGGGGTCTGGCTGGTATTGGTTATGCAATCACACAGCCTATAAGGTTCTCCCAGCAGGATGGTGTGGTACATGTACCTTAGGGGCTATAGTACCCGCCGTGACAGTACACCAGAACCTGACCCGGGGAGAGATCCGCAATCTAGTATGGAGGGACAGATAAAGTATTCCTTTAAACCCCCTTTCTCAACGCCCAAAGGCTTTCACTCCTTTGTGCATTGGTTTCTGCCATGGTTGGGAGTAAGCGAGCTGGAAAAAGCTATAGTTAACATTTCAGCTGCTTTGGAACTAATGGCAAATGCTACTGCAGATGCTCTCTCTGCCCTTCAAATTGAAGTCACCCAGCTATCCCAAACTACATTGCAAAACCGCCTAGCCCTGGATTATCTCCTTGCAAATCAGGGCGGGGTTTGAGCTCTGGTCAACTCAAGCTGTTGTGTATTTGTAAATCAGCACCATAGGGTGGAAACTAACATCCACATCCTCAAGCAACAGGCAGCCCTATTCCACCACATCAGCCTCGACACTACCAGCGCCGAATTCCAGGAGGTCTGGGACTGGCTCGCCTCATGGCTACCGGATGTGGGGACTTGGGGACGGCGTATTTTGTATTTACTTTTTTTGACTGTTATTGTTTTTGCATTATTTTTGTATGCCTACAATGCTGCAGTATCTGCTGTCAGCAGTTGCTAACCCTGCAGCGTGGTTACTCAGCCCTGATATAGCTTACTGACATTAAAAAAAAAAGGGACGACTGTTAAGGAAAAGTTAGCACATGTGACTCCATTTTGGTTTGGGGCCCACCATTGTCTAAAAGCAAGCACATCATACACCAAGAGGAGTGATCCTTAGATACTGAATCCCTGTGAAAATCCTCCTCCTTGTCTCCAGTCTGCCTTGACTCCCAGTATCTGTTTTTTGTCAGTCTCTAACACCCCATCTCTTGGCCTTTGATGTGAGGCCTCCCATCCTGATAATAAAAGTTACTGATGCATGGCTTTAGGACCATGCTGTGTAATTAACATACTGGTTTAGCACGAGGAATGCACCAAGCAGGGATAGGTGGTAGATAAGAAAAGGGTTTGTTTATTGGTTAAGGTTTCCGATGCACGAGGGCAACATATTTTGCTAAAAAGTATATAACCTTTGTATAATCTGTATTCAGGGTCCCCTCCTGGCTAGCAGGGGGGCACCATGCTCGAGCGTAATAAACTTAGTGTCTTTTGGGAACTCTGCAGTTGTGGACTTTATGTGCCTCAGCCTAGATTCGAACTGCGCGTGACCTATCAGGTATAATTCGCAGCATTGGTGTGCGTGTCCAACCAGGTGTAATTCGTAGCATTTGTGTGCGTGTCCTACCAGGTGTAATTCGCAGCATTTGTGTGCGTGTCCTCTCAGGTGTAATTCGCAGCATTTGTGTGCGTGTCCTCTCAGGTGTAATTTGTAACAGCAGAGCCAGCTGGCTACAAACCACGGTTGGTGCTGGGTTCAAGAGCTGGTGCAAAGAACACACAGAGCCCGATTCTCCATTGCTTCACACCTTGTGTAATTGTTTTACAGACGTAGAGGATCACACAATGTGCAGGGCAATGGAGAATCAGGCCCACAACGGTTACGCTGGGATGACATTCTGGAAAAGGCAGTGAAGGGAAGAAAACATAAGAGCAGGATATTCTAGGATAAGGTTTGTATACTGCCACTTAACAACTTCCTACATGCAAGATGGAAAGAGAGGAATGTGTTCTGAGCTTACCAAAGGCTTCTGACAGTCCGTACACTTTCTGGCTGTAGACATCCGTCTTGTCCCAGATGAAATAATAGGAGAGGTCCGGGGCAGCTGCAAACCACTTTCTAAAGAGGCGTCCTTCTACAGCAACCATAAGGTGGACTTTCATGAGGTTGAAGGGGATGGTGGGATGAGTCATGCTGATCCTTAAGACTGACTTATAGCCAGCCGTGCGGCTGCTCAGGTAGCTCAGCTTTAGTTTGCTGCCAGCAACGTTAATCTCCTCTTGCAGGGCCTGAGGAAAAATAGCCAGGTGGTGTTAAATCACCACTGAGCAGACACTAAAGGCAGCAAAGTTGCAGTTAATCAGACTCTTACATCATTAGCAAAGCTCTCTGAGAAGTTTCTAAACCATTTACGAGGCATCAACTATAAAATATTCACGATGTACCGGGTTATTCGTGGAGGCCAAGGAATGTCTCTCTGGGTGATTTCTGCAGGCGGTGGGGTGGGAAAGGAGGCTTAAAAATGCTTACAATGGGATCCAAGCAGAAAAAGGCTCCAGCCATCTGTAACCAAGATGCCCTGAGCTAGGGCTGGCTCCAGCTTTTTTGCTGCCCCAAGTGGCGAAGGGAAAAAAAAAAAAAAACCCAAGCCTGGTTGAGCTGCCGCCGAAGTACCGCCAAAGAGGAAGAGAGGGACTGCAGGGCCCGCCGCCGAATTGCTGCTGAAGACCCGGACGTGCCGCCCCTTTCTATTGGCCACCCCAGGCACCTGCTTCCTTCGCTGGTGCCTGGAGCCGGCCCTGCCCCCAGCCAATGCTCCCCTTTCTCCTCTTTGCCCCTATATCTTGCTGCGTTCTGTTGGTGGCAATCTTCATCTCCTAGACTCTTTGTGAGACACTGAGCCTTATTTGTCCCTGTATCCCTCCTCCTGCTGCGAGTTCACCCGGTTCCTGCCCATCCTCTCCCACCCTGCTCCTGTCCCCTCTCTCCCCAGCTCCAGCCTCACCTCTTGCCAATGTCCCGCCATCTCTGCTCCTTTTTTCCCCTCCTGCCCTTTGTCTTCCTTCTGCTTCTATCCTTCCTCATTCCTGCCCCTGTTCTCTCCTCCTAACTCCTGCTCCTACCCCCCCCTTCCCTTGAGCTCTCCTCTCACCTTATTCCTTGTCCCTTTGGATTACAGGCTTCCTGCTTCCTCCTCCTCCTCCATGCTGTCTGGGCACCAGCAGGGGGAGCACTGAAAGCCCAGGAGAGAAGGTTTTCCTCCTCTCAGTCCCAGTGCCCAGTACTACTGCAGTCCCGGCCAAATGGGACAAGAAACTGCAGAAAAAGTCTTGCTCAGCCCTAGCTGCCCTGGGGATTGTGCGTGCTCAGTACCAATGGAATCTTCAGAGACTTTGGCTGCTAAACTCTCACTAGTCTCTACAGAGCATACATGAACTGAGATTTTTGGGAGGGTAAAAACTTGGCTAGTTTAGGGCAGATTTTCTGGGGATGACAAAAGGCACATCCTCGAAATTAGGGTGGGCACCCTGCCAAATTTCCAGATCCTGCTCCAAAACACAAAGGTGCAAGAGCTTCTCAGTGAAATGGCTGTACGATTTTTTTTTTAACGTGGGCACAACAGTGTATTTTCCCCCAGCCTTGTTCTTGGAAAAGGCCGAACCATTTAACTGGAACTTCCCTCCAAAAAACCAGTCTCAGACAGATAGCCGGCATAGCAAATGTATTAGCAACTGAAAACAGAGTCTTGTCACGGAAAGTGTTGGGCAATGTGAACTATAGGCTTTGCTGCCTACAACAATACTTCTAGCACTTGCACAGCACCTGGGATATTCAAGGATCTGAAAAAATGCTTTATAAATAAAAATCAGTCTTCAGAAGATCCCTACCCATTTTACTGATAGGGAAAGTGAAAGACAGAGGAGTTGAAAGGATTTGCTAAAGGTACACAGTCAATGGCAGAGCCAAGAATAGACCACAGGAGTCTGAAATTCTTTTCAGTGCACTGCTCTAACCACTAGACTTGACCCCTGTTTGTTAGAGCTTTACACAGCCTCAGTTGTGCTGGAATGCCCCTCGCATATGGGCTTTAGTTATAAATAACCACCAATCTGGGAAATGAAGCTCCTAAGAGCAGCTGTTTTGGGCTATTATCGAAGACCTAATACTTTTTCAAGTGATAACTCACAACCTCTGAGCACAGCAGCACTTGACAAACTTATGCATCACGGAAGTTAAAGTACTGTTGCACCACGTCCATAAATATTTACTTTATCTAATGCAGCCTTTTCAATTTACATACCTATGCACTTACGAGGGTGAAAAATGGCAGATCTGGGAAAACCCAGGAATTTTAAGATAGATTTTGCAAGTTTAGCAACAAGCTATGCTGGCAGCAGGCTCAGTCAGAGACCAGCTGAGCAGCAGTACAAAGAAGGTGGTCCCTTTCATCCAATCTGTCTTCACATACAACCCCTATAGGAAAATACCAGCTAGAAATAATTGCCACCGAGGTATTGTTTTGCAGCGTCTGGTTCAATTCGGTGTATGAAATGTTTACTTCTCTCTGCCACAATTGACTACTCTCTGTCCCTATTGACTACCATTTCAGACAAGGAGTCAACTGAGTAGTAAATACACATCAAACAAATGCCAAGAATATATTTAAAAGGATCCTGCCTCAAGAGGTGGTTCAAATCTTAAGGATCACAAGATCTTCCAAAATGGTTGCATATTGTGCTTTGCTGCATTTCATGAGCAATACTGTCCTGGTGATGCACACCCACAGAAAAATGGCATTCCAGGCATCCTGCTTCCTCCATCACACACCTACTCCACTGAGCGAGGAAACTATTACTCTGTCCAATTTCTTCAGCATGACACACATAATACTCTGACCCAAAAACTGATGAGAAACAAAGACATCTGAATAGTGTCAATATGCCTTTTGGATGACAGATTAAAGTAAGGTCCTGACTGCTTGGGAATTAGCCCTGATGTCCCAGCAGAAATTTAACTTAAGAAATTACCATTCTGGTTACCTAAATTCCCCTTTCAGTTGCATGACTCTGTTATTCTGTTCTGTACATTTAAATAGCTGCAACACTGTACTCCAGAGATTGCTGCATTTCTGAGAATGAGCCCTGGCATTTCAGACCACTGAGTACTTTGGAATCCTCTGTAAATGTATTATGATTCTGCTTTGCAATATAATAAGCATTCCTATATCCCTCAAGGAATAAATGTGATTATGTCCATTGTATCTAACATTTCTCTATTGAAAAGTGTGTCTAATAGAATGCAATGGTAGAATTTCAAGCACTTTTCCACTGGGGAGTTTTTATACTATATGTTACACAATGTGGGATTATGCAGATGAAAGCAAAATTCGTATTGAGTTCAATGGGGCCAGGATTTCACCCCAACAATATTTTCTTCAGGTTTGAAGGTTGAAAGTTATGTTCCCAAACTTTGGGAAAGTTCAATTCCAAAATTCTGCCCCAAAGCAGAACAGTAGCATTAAGCATTTTAGCAGTGGGTGCTGAAATGTACCCTGAAGGTCTGTTACATCCTAAAATGTGTCCCAAGGCCACCCTGTTCCTGTAGATGGGAGGTGTGGACAAAGCAGAGCCAGTGCAGTTTTTGCTGCTGGTGAATAAGCACTTCATTATCTATTGGTCAGAGATTAACAAAACCAAGCATTATGGCCTTGCGTCTATTTTTGATTTTAAAAAGTATGTAAATGTATTGTGTAAATTAGGCAAGGACTCTAGGCTTCTGGAAAGCTGTGAAGCCCAAATCAGTGTCACAAAATGTTTTACCAAGTACAGAAACAGAATAGGATGCACACTCCTGGATGCGCATAGCTCCACATGCACTGCTCCACTTGACTGCCTGGAGCAAATGTTTCACTTTAGAAAGAAAATTCATACCTGAATTTCTGGAACAATGGGGCCTTTCTCCGTACAGGAACTTGCAAATGCTGTCAGGGGGGACGGGGAGACCACGGGGTTGGGACGGGCAAAGTTGCTGAGATCACAGCTTGGAATCTCATTCTCTTCATGCCTCATGACTATGGTTTCCATTACAAAAAAGCGATCCCAGGGCAGCCAGAGCGTGTGTTCCTGAGTGATGAAGGGAGCCCGCTCAAAGTGTAAGATAATGGAAATCCCACCATTAGTGACGAGATCAAAGCTGTTTTTAAGAGACAAAGCAGAAATAAAAATAAAACAAATGATACTTGGCATGTCTAGAGCCTTCCAAACAGGAACCTCACTGTGCAAATATTAAAGGATTAACCCTCACAAAACCCCCGTGAGCTAGAAGTATTATCACTCCTATTTTACAGATGGAAAAACTGAGGCACAATGAGGTTAAATGACTTGGACAAAGTCATACTGTAAGTAAGTGGCAAAGACAAGAATAGAACCCCTGGGTCTTGACATTCAGTCAAGAAATATAGTTATTAAAGCACACTATCTTCTTTTTAAAAGACAAAGTTTATGTTTGTGATTGTTTCCTGAGTTACTGGACCTCAAAGGTTTTATTTACTATTTCTAAAAACATGTTTACGATCCAATATCAGTCACAGATTGCATGGACTTGCACATTTAAATAAACTATCTGGAAAGCAGTTTCTCCTTCACTTACCTGCCCAGACTTCAGGTCTGGGTTATGTTTTCCCTGCAGCCACTGCTGATCTCACTAACATACTGTTTTATGTATTAGCGACAGCCTCACCCACTAGGGCAGCGAGAACATGGATCAACAAAGAAATCATTTTGGGACAGGTGAGTGGATGGAGAAGGAGCTGATTTTACAATAACTGGGTTTAAAATGTAATGGTCTGATTTTCAGAGGAGCTAGATGCCCACGGCTCCCACGAAGGGGAGCTCAACACCTCTGAAAATCAGACCCTGCATGGATTTGGAATTTTTATCCCTAAATATGGACCCTGTGCTGTACAAACACAGAAAAAAAAAAGATGGTCCTTGCTCCAAAAAGCTCATAATCCAAACTGCCCTTGCTTTGCTTCTTTGTAATTTATAGCGAAGGCATGGAAGTGTTTCGGTTTGATTTTTTCCCTTGCTTGTTTTTTACACTAGAACTTCACATCTGAAACAGAAGATTTATGGAAGATTTATGAAATGTTGTAGAAATAATGACACGATGACATCACAAGAGCTAAGAAAGTGAAAGTAGAGTAATTGAAATGGAAAGGGGTTTTAGTAAGACTTTAAAGCCATTGGGGTTTTTGTTTCTTTGTTTCAACACCTATTTAACTTCAATGCCTAAATAACATTTTGGATAAAGGAAGTCTTTGTTAGATAACACCCGTGCATCTTCAATTAAGGTGTTAGGCTCTGAGTTAAGATGATATTTAAGCATGTTCATAACTTTTAGCATGTGAATAAACCCACTGATTTCAATAGTACTACTCAAATGCTTTGAGGTAAGCACATGATTAAGTACCATCCTGAATACCTTAAGGGCTTGTCTACGCTACTGCTTAAATCAATGTAACTTACGTTGCTCAGGGGTGTGAACCCCCCCGCAAGTGACATAAGTTACATCGACTTAAAGCAGTGTCTACACTGTGCTATGTTGGCGGAAGACACTCTTCCACCAACACTGCTTCTGCCTCTCATTGAGGTGTAGTAATTGCATCGATGGGAGACAGCGCGTCTTCACTAGGCGTGCTACATCAGCACAGATGCATCGGTGCAGCTGTGCCGATGTAGCACGGCCGTGAAGACAAGCCCTAAAGTGCCCTGAGACCCCCAATAAATCCTCAGGCAAAACCAAGAAAGTCCAGATTTGGTGCAGGTGATATTTCTAAAGAGAGAGAGAGAAAAAAAAAAAAAGCAGGAAAACCCCTTTTTTTAATTAATTAAAAAACTTTCCAACCTTCTTCACAGATCACAGAGAAGCAAAAAAGAGCTCAGTGACATTTTTAAAAAAACTCTTAGCAGGTCACCGTAACAATTCGTTTTTCCATCCACGATCATCATTTGGATGGCTCTTAAACGCTGCTTAGTGAATGTAGTTATGAAAAAAAAAGTTATTCAAGTCCACAGGGCATGGGGAGAGCATTTTAAAACCTCCAGACTTGTAAGGGGTTTATTCTGTACCTCAAGTGGGGGCGTCAACTTCCCAGACCTATGTAGCTTGGCTTTTAAAAGCCTAATGGGTAACTCATGCCCTGGCTTGCCAGCTAGATGAGCAGCCTTTGTGCTTTGATGAGGACATTTTTAACAGTCAATTAGCATTTGGCAAGCCCTGCTACTAGAAGGGAAAAGCTCACTTCACACAAGGCTGAGCACTAAAGAGGGCGAAAGAAGGAAGGGATAAATGTAAAAAAAATGATGTTCAACAACGGTTGGAAAACTAGGAATGGTTTATTTATAGAAACGCCTCTGCTTCTGTCATTGGTGAGTGGAGCTGCTAGGAGCCCTGGGCTCTAATGAGCTTTGGTCAGGCATGTTAGCCTGCAGGGAAAAAAAGCTTGCTTCTCCTGTGGACATGAAACCCAAGCCAGAAGGGAAGGCATCGATCTAATGTCAGACTCAAGCAGCTGTGAAAACACAGAGGCTTGCATTGTACGGCAAGAGACACAGTCACTCATCAGCTACTGTTTCTTGAGTTACGTGGCTTAGCCTTGAAGGGTATGAATATAGAGCATTTTGGAGCCTGTGGCAGCAAACCTCTCAGCTTGGGATGATAGAGTTGGGTAGCGGGGCTCGCACTAGTGTTTTAAAAATAGCTGTGTAGACAGCGATTTTAAGTTGCAGCTCAGGCTCTGATGCTTGGGAAGGGAGGCGGGCTGGAAGGCTTGCTCCCACAGGCTCCAAAATGCTATGTAGACATACCCCAAGTTGCCTAGATTAAAAAAAAAAACCCCACAGCAGTGAAATAAAAATTAGTATAATCAAAATTCTCTTCAGGATGAGAGCCCTAAATAACGCTTTCAGGTGGGCTGCTGATCTCAGGGATGGGGGGGTGCGACACAGAGGCTCCCTGGCAAAGTGTCCCCTGATCTTTGCAAACAAGTCTCACCTCAGACCCGACAAACTCACTGCACCTAGCACATGCTTTGTGGGATACTTATCCATAAAGAGAAAAGGAGTACTTGTGGCACCTTAGAGACTAACCAATTTATTTGAGCATAAGCTTTCGTGAGCTACAGCTCACTTCATCGGATGCATACTGTATGCATACAGTATGCATCCGATGATCACGAAAGCTTATGCTCAAATAAATTGGTTAGTCTCTAAGGTGCCACAAGTACTCCTTTTCTTTTTGCGAATACAGACTAACATGGCTGTTACTCTGAAACTTATCCATAAAGAGCAGCATGTACGGTATCTACAGAACACTTGTAACTGGTCAAAATGCATAATCATTGTGAAATGTATGTGCAGGTGAATTTAAAGCACAATGTAATTATGCTGAAAGTATACTTTATGGACTTGGAGTAGAAGTTAATCATCAGGGGACAAAATATCTCAGCGATGGCCCATCCTAGCAGGAGGGAGTTGTTACCCCGCCTTGGTTAGCCAGCGATGTAATGCAAGGCTCAATTGTCTAGCCTTGCTCCACCCCAAGCCTTTCAATGGAAAACCATCAGAGACAACTGCAAACAATTAAAACCACTTGCAAATAAAAAAGGAACATTACAACAGCCAGAGAATCCCACCAAGCCACAGGACCTCCTTTTCGACCTCCTCCTAGCACTGGCCAAAATGGCTATCTACAACACCAGGGAGAGGAGGTTGGCTGATGGGGTTTCCTGCGACTGCGGGGCCTATTTCCGATCCTCCGTCTGCTCACGCATCTGGGCAGAGTTCCTCTGGGCAGCGTCCGCTGGCTCCCTTGACACCTTCGAGGAGGAGAGAGTGCTGTCCAGGGTTCTCTGCTCGGTGTCCCCAACAGGTTCCCTTCGTTTAGCCCTGTGACCTCACTCCTGTCTCTGTTATATCTTTAGTTGTCCCCAGTAATTAATTGACATCCTGGACTTTGTGGATCCTCCCCTTAGGCTGCGGGAGGTCCCTTAGCAGTGGGCTTCTGCCCTCCCACTTCCAGGATCCCAGCAGGACCAGACTCCTACACCCAACCGGTCTGGGTTTGTCACAATATATGTACACACACACAAAACAATAAAATATTATCTACATGGTTGTCAATTGAAATTTTTTCCCTGTTGACCTTATCTGGATGTACTGTACACCAGTCACAAGCTCATGACCTGTAGCTATTAACAGTGGCTTTGGTTTTTCAAAGCTGTCAACTTCTGACCATCTGGATACTTGACAGTTCATGCATGTTTCATACTGGAAAGGCAACTTAAAAAAAAAAAGACAAAAGACTGTTTCAGTATAGCACAGAGTGGAGAAAGGCACTCTGTATCCTTTCACCTTGGGGAGCAGAAATGTTCCCATGAAAAATTGGTTCCTGGTTCCTATGAAGCCAGCCAGCTCTGCAACAGACTGAACTTTTTTTTTGGGGGGGGGGGGGGGCACCTCTTGCTAGAGGCAGAGGATAACAAGGTGACTCACAGTCCTGGGTGCCCCGAGAACTGTCACAATGGGTTTTCTTCCATTTGCAAAAAGTCATATTACCTACGTGGACTTATTGTTTTGGTTATCTTAGAAAGACACCCAAGGGACAGTCCAGTCCAGGATGTCCTCTATTTATCCCCAGAACAGGCTCAGCAGAGACAGCTGCAGTGCACTAAGATCATCCAACACATTTCACAAACATCTATAAGATGGTCACAATTGCTTGTCACTACCCACTACCAGTGTGATCCAGCAATCTAGTGGTGAAAAGATTTATTTTAAAATATATTTTATAATCCATTACCAGGTCCTGAGCCCTCCAGTCCTTCTGTGTCACAGAAAAGTCAGATATACAATAGTACATTCTGACAAGAGTTGGTTTATCCTTATGCCTTGGGATCTGAAAGTTTCATGATAAATAGTTTGAGAACACATATGGGCCTTTAATTTGGTCTCATTTTCTGGGGTTATTTAATGCAGCCTAAACTTGGATGAAATCCTGGATCCATTGAAAACAATGAGAGCTTTGCCACTGACTTCAGTGGGGACAGGATTTCACCCCTGGAGTCTACAGTTGACTGGTGTGACAACAGGATGAAACCCACTTCTAGTAAACCAGAATATAGTGAAACTATTTACAGTGAAGTAGAATTCAAGTCCTAATTTGTTACAGTTCATTGCAATTTGAAAATTGGAATTCCAGTTATAATGAAATTCATTTTAGGCCTTGTCTATACAAGAAAGTTGCACTGATTTAATTAGATCAGTTTAGAAACCAATTTAGTTGAATAGGCCCAATTCCCTTGTGTGAACCTTCTTATTCTGAGACCACAAGGGGGTTGCAGTGATTTAACGAAATTGGATTCTAAACTGATTCAGTCAAATTGGCCCAAATTGCTTGTGTAGACAATGTCTCAGGCTAAAATTGTTCTGTTGAAAAGATTATTAGAAGAGGGTCCTGCTGTTGTAACATATTGAAGTACAGAACAGCAATTGTAATAGCAATAATGCTTTCCATTTGGAAAGCACGTCACATGTAGTATTTCATCCACAAACACCCCAGCGAGGCAGGAAGAAAGTGTTACCTTCATTTTACAGGCAGGTTAACCGTGGCATAGGAAGATTAAGGGATGTGTCTAAAAGCTACACACTAGATCAGCAGCAGAGCTGTGACTAAAGCTCAGGATTTCTTGACTCCCACCTTGCACTCCCACCTTTAGACTCTGGTACCTCCAATATTTCAAGTGATTTTATAAATAGCTCTCATATCATATCAGTGAATAATTAACTAATTTTTGGTTCTTTAAAGGAAGAATGCTTTCATCTACTCATACATTACCTCCCTCCAGTGCCCGCAGATGTAGTGTTGTGCCTGATCATGCAAGAAAATAGATGAGTGCATGTCAAAGACAATATTTTGGGGCCAATTATAGTCTCATTCTCATGTTTCAAGATCCTCAACAATGTAATCAGACTATTTGTTGAATATCATGTCCTGAAATGTTGTTAGCACAAAGCACCAGACCTGAATGACAGCACCACATAAGCAGAACATAATGAGGGGAAATCATAAGGAAGTATGCCTGACTGCAAGAGCTGTCTAACTCCACTCGTTCTGGGACTGGGGGGCTCCAGCAGTTACTGATAGGAATGCTGGCCTGGTCCTCGGACTTATTTTGATTATATACTCTATGTTCAGGCACTGCTGATCGCCGCCTTTCTATTACTTTAACTGAATCTAGTACTTGTGATCGGTGCTGGATTTACAGCCCTTGGCAGTGAGCTCCTGGGAGCAGTTCTATCCGATGCCAGCTGGCAAGGTTTCCCTAGGGAACATTAGCTAACTGGAAATTGGTGGAGCACACTGGCACATTGGCCGCACCTCTCCCTGCCCCGCTACACTGAGGGTGGGAAGGATGTGGTGTAAGAGCCAGTAAGTCTAGCTTAACACGAGCTGAGAACTCCCCTCCAACAGGGCCATTCTCTGCTGGTGAGTAAGATGCCGGAGTGGTGCAAAGGGTCTGGATGGCGGCAGAGAGTGTGGTTGTGAGTGAACACAGGATTGAAGCGCTGTTTCACCTATCCTTCCTAGGGGTAGTCCCTGTAGAAAATTATTGAAGCACAGCCTGGCGTAGTATGGAAGAAGCTTGCTCCGCTGTGCTGCCCGTACTGTACCTGCTCTGTAGGGGGTAGAAGTGATGCCTGTCCAGGCCCTGTGCAATGCTAGGCTCATTATTTGCTTATAAGCCCCCATGATGGATCAGGGCTGCATAGCATTAACACACTGCACAAATACAGAACAAAGGGATGGGCCCTGCCCTAAAGAGCTTAAAGTCACGCATCTGAAGAAGTGGGTTTTTTACCCACAAAAGCTTATGCCCAAATAAATCTGTTAGTCTTTAAGGTGCCACCCGACTCCTTGTTGTTTTTATAGTCTAAGTGGAAGACTATAGACAGTAGACAGCAGGTGGAGACCAACAGACAGAGCACAAGGAAGTAATGAGCTGATGCTGGTCAGCATGAAAAACAGGGAGTTCCAGCACATCAGCTGTCTACCTATGGTCAAGTTTTTTGTAGGCATTATTATTTTTACTTGGGTCGGCTTTGTGTCAGCCCTTTACACTGCAGTGCATTTGACCGCTAGGGCCCGATTCTGATCTCACTTGCCAATCAGGAGGTTATGAGGCAGGTATATGGCTCCACTACAGCAGCTACCGTGCCACAGCTGGGCTGCTACACCTGTGTGCTGCTGTCATGCTGTTGTGCAGATGCTTCCTGAATCAACGGAAGTGGTTTTTCCACCCATCCGAGAGGCGGCAGCTTGGTCGCTGGAATTCTTCTCTCGACCTCACTATGTCCACGGTGGGGTTACGTGGACATCACTAAGTTGCACAGGGCATGACATTGTTCACAGTCCTGAGCGATGTAGCTAGGCTGCCCTAAATTTTAGGTGTAGACCAAGCCTGAGATTAATGGAGTTACATTACAGTGTAAATGTGAGAGATTCTGTATCTTTCTCAATAGTCTCTAAACCACAAGACTCGTGAAAGTACCAGCTTCTCTTGTAAGTTATGCTCATTTAACTGAGATAATCCATTTTCCATGGAAACGTACCTATTACTCAGATTCTACTGTTGTATTTTCCAGTAGATGGAACATTCATGAGAACACATCTTGAAAAGTTTCAGTGGTTCAGCAGGCACCAAGTCCCAGGGGAACAAGTCAAGACTACATAACACACACATCTCTAGCAAGTGTTCATCTCCTTGATTATCACCCCACTGGCTATTCTAGCCAGGTCAATCCAAATCCTTAATGTTAGTGTCAGACTGGAGAGCTGTTAAAATCAGCAAAGCTAGGTCATCCTCGCCAAAGTGCTCGTGTTAATCACCATTAGCTAGAATATGTGCAGCTCCATCAGTCAGAAACTTACTCCTTATATTTAGCTTTTGTCTTTAAAAGAGAGCCAGTTAGTACTGAGAGACAAAAGACTGCCCAATTCAGTGATTTTGTTGCGGTTCAGTGGAACTGTTCAAATTTTAACCACTTGCCTCTAGCAATACTGTATCTTACAGGTTTAATTATTTTTGCCCAATAATGTCTATATAAAGCAATGAAGAATATGCAGTTTGGGGCAGGAACCATAATTTCTTTATATGCATGGGCAACACCTAGCACAACTGAGCCCCAGTGCTTCTATGCACTTCTGTAATAATATCAGTATCAATATTAACAATAACACTAGTGTCTTCAGGCTGCCCCAGACGTGACTGTGTCTTTGCTAGGAGAGTCTCTCTCCAGTGCTGGCTGCCCTATTTGCAGCTCTGGGTACTTACATATTGTAAAATGTATAGCAGAAACCATACCTGCCATCTTGCCTGCTGATTGTGTATCCAAAAAGAGGATTGTTGGCAAAACTGATGTTCACTCCAACTAGAGGGGTTCCATCTGATGTTATCACCTGACCTCGAATCACACACGCATGGCTGCATGAAGGAAAGAAATGATAGGAAATGGTGAATCATGTCAAAGATGCGGGAGTGATCCCCGACTTACCCTGCTGTGAATGCCTGCACACAGGGATACCTAATACAATAAGCAATAAAATTCAGTAGGCCAAATCATGCCCCCAGATGGAGGCACATAACTCTTGCTGACTTGGGTGTTGTGCACACACATCTGAGGGCAGAATTTGGCTTCACCTTTTTTCTACTCTTGTAATATTCAACCACTGGCAAATATACTGTTCTCTGCTATCTTCTCCTGTAGGGCACACGATATACTGACATGGCTGTAGCACACTCAGCTTCATATATACTTGACAGTACTGGTCTGATTAAGGACAAAACATGTTTTAGAACAGAGGAGGATGGAAATGTACTAAATACTGCATGGGCAGGTTTATGGCAATTAAGTCCTCTGATGATCAAAGAGATGTGCTGGCCTTGATGAGTCAGGTCTTCCATAGTCCATAAGGAAGTGTTACTGCTTTGGAGAAAAAACGATGACAAATTTGCAAGGATCAGATGAATTCCCTACAGAATGTTTCAGCAATTGAGCATGCAAAAACAGAACTGCCGATTGTTTGTAGATTACACCTACTCCATTCTACTCTGCACTTTTATGACACCTTTCCCCCAAGGATCTCTAAGTGCTTTACAACACCGATTAATTCTGTGAGGTTCGTATTTTACAGATAGGAAACATGAATTCTGTTGGTTTTCAGTTACTCAGGATCGCTCAGCAAATCTATGTCAAAGCCGAAGATAGAACACATAAGTCTCTATTCCAAAGTCTCTGTTCAAAGCCCTAGATTGTACATCTTACCATACAGCTATGCAAGGAGCTTCCAAAAAAGACAACAATCTTGTGTATCTGATAGTGTCTGATCTCAGTGTCTATCTCAAGGTACTTATTTTTCTGAGTGATAACAATAAATTGTGGTATCTTTGTGCTGGCATAATATGACGTGTTATTTTTGCAGGCAATGTCATGCTAGCCAGCAGAGACTGGAAGCCAATGTTCCTACTGCTTTAGGCCCAGATCCCCTGCTGGTGTAAATCACCAGAGCTCAATTTATAATCTGTCATAAGAGAATTCAATGGAGCCACACGGATTTACAGTTGCTGAAGATCTGGCCCTCAATGCGTAGAAAAGCACTTACACAATCTCTTATTACCATGGAAAACCACAGAGTCCACAAGTTATTGCCTAAGGGGTGCATCAACAAGGCAAAGATTGTATGGCACAGCGAGAACCAATATGTGTATCAAATAAGGATTTCACTGGATATTTATTCCACGACACAGAAGATAGACTTTTTAGTTGTCATGCCATCCAGTTATAGCAGAACTCTCCACTGATTAAAGTAGGGATTTTTGTGTATATGCTGATGGAAGGGTATGGCTCAAAACTTGGCATTTAGGTACACAGAAACAAAAGCTTCTGAAGGTTCAGTTCTAGTATCTACTCACTTGATTCCTATGTCCCCTTTGGTCAGTCCCAGAAAAAACAGGATAAAATGCACCTGATTTTCTATTTCACTGATATTAGTTTTACTCTGGTGTATATCCAATGACTTCAACAGAATTACTCCTGATTCACACAGATGTGGAAGGAAAAGCAGTCCCATCAGTAAGACAATAATAATTTCTGTATTCCTTTGCACCTTCCATCCAAGGATCAAAAAGCACTGTATTAACAATTCAGCTCTGTGACATCCGAGGACACTGGGTAAATGACCATCACTGTTTGACAGATGGGGAAACAAAGACACAGAGGACCACATTCACCCTATTGTAACCCCGCTGAAGTTGACAGAACACCACGAGGAAAGTATTTGGCTCAAAGTAGTAACGTTTGTGGACAGCCAGAGGCAGTACCCATAACTTCCATTCTGAGGCCTCTACATTACCCACAAGACCATTCTTCTCATCTTCTTCAGTGAGAGCTGAAGGAGAGTCTGGAATGGTCACCAAGTCCTTGAGCCTTCTGATCATCCTTACATTTTTGTGGAAGGATAAGCATTACTGTGGACTCCTCTTCCGAAGCCCAAGAAATTCTTGCTATTGGGAACAATGGACTCGGCAGGCTGAATTACCATTACCTATTCAAACCAACACCAAAAGCATTACTGATGACTGCTTGCTCATTTTAAAGTGGTTAAGCAGAAATACAAATAAAGCACATTTTCATGAGATAATGGAGAAGGGTTGCTACCTTCTTCCACTGCCTCCCCACAAACTACAAGCAAAGAGGAAACAAAGAGACTAAATGTTGTAGATGCCTTAACTGGTGCCCTAGACAAAAAACTAACAATTATGATGGTAGCTCTCCCAGAGTCTAAGCAGATGAAAGCCTATGAGTAAAGTCAGCCAACACACTGGACTAGATCCTCAGCTGGTGTAAACAGAGCTTTGCTGCTTTGCACCAGCTGAGGATCTGGACCATAGCTTTCATGAGTTCATGGGCACTTAGGTCTGCAGGGATAAAGAACAGCCACACAGTTACAGGCACAATAAAAATATGCAAAAGAACTCACTCTAACGGGGAAACTCTAACAAACACATCTGCACTTCTAGCTTCCATCGAATGATGTCCCCCCAACAACTCTTCAAATTGTCACGCTCAGCTTCTTTGCTCCATCTCCATTTATTTACTTACCGATTTGGATGAAGACAGCCCATCTTAGGAGACAAGTAACTCTCAGGAAAGCCTATCTGGCCCCCAGGAATCCCCTTGAGGGCTATAACAAGTCCTTTACTCCCAGAGGGTAGTCCTTCCCAGATTATAGTCACAAAAAGAAGCTGGGGCAGTGTGTACAAATATCTGAACTTAATTGAAGTGGGATGGGGATGAGAAAGATACTGAATCCCAGACTTTGCCTGATCAGATCCTCAAATTTTCTACTTTCCCAGCTGATAAAATTTGCCCCATTTGGGAAAAACAATTAACGCTGTGCTTTGTAAGCAGCTGGCCTCTCCAGTGTCATCGTGTCCTTTCTGGAGGCGAAATTGACTACCCACAATGCACTCAGCCCCCCCAGGAACCTGGTTAATGCTAATTTAGTCAGCCATTTCCTTCAGAAGACCTTGGTCTAAATGCAATTACGGTGCAAACACGTTAAGTGGTACCACAAAGACTCTCAGCCCTGCTTGGAAGGTCTCCCAATATATTTACATAAAATTATCTCTCATGTTAATAGGGAAGATTTATTCCATCAGTCTAGTTTGGCCAGCACTGAAGATGTTTTCTGCAGTTGAGCAAAACTGAATGTCTCTTTGCTGTAGCCTTGTCTTTCCAATGAATTATTAACATACTTCATCTACTGGCTGAACTATATTTTTTCAAGACTGCATTTACATGTGACTGTGCAGATCCCTTGTTTTACAATAACCAGTTCTCCAGTCTGTTTTTTTAATTAGCCTTTCCCAACCCCTCTGGTCTTTTATTTTTCTATAGAGGTTTCCCTATAATTAGGGAACACTAAATCATTGCTGAATTGCTACCATGTGGCTTGCTAGATGGCGAGTCTGAGACAAAGTAATTTTAGACCATTGCTTTGTGAAGTAATTTGTAATCACTAGAAGATTAAGTTAATGTCCACCTGTCCCCCTGGGAATGATCTAGGGCCCAGTGCCATCAAAAGTAGAGACACATTCACTCTTCCCTTCCACAGGTATAGAGAAAGTCCTGTTTTCTTTAGTAAGACCTGTGTTTACATGCAGGGGAGGAAAAAAATCCAAGTATGCCAACAGTTATAAAATACTAGAAATCAAAGGAAAAATCCCAAGTAGGTCATTTAATCCATCTTCATGCCAGGAAAGATTGCTCCCTACAGTGTGTTTCCTAGCTCTTTGGTTTAATGTTAAACATCTCAGGCAGTGGGCTTTCCAAAGCATTATTATTAATAATTATTTGTTTAGTGCTGGGAACATGCTTGGCATTGTACAGTAGACAAAATAAAGGCATTCCTTTTCCTGAAGGACTTCCCTTGGGAAATTATCCCATAGTCTAACATGGTCTAATCTGATGCTTGTTGAAATTGATGGAAATACTCTCACTGATTTAAAAAAGGCATTGGATGAGGCTCATATATTTCACCGTTAGGAATTATTTTCTGGTGTTCGTGCTAATTTTTCCATTTCTTAGTGTTACGCCATTACTCCTACTCATGACCCATTGTATCACAACCCTAGCTCCTTTTTTCTTGGAAGCTGAAAGGCTTCAAATACATTTGGATGATTCACATGTTCTCCACACCCCCTTAGTCATTCTTTGGCCATGTTATTTGTATTAAATATTTTTAATCTCCACTCAGAATTCCCCACGTCCCTATATTTGTTATTGTTACTTTTCTATAAGTTACTTCCAACTTTGTTTGACATCTTTTTGGTACCGAGGTGCCCAGAACTGAACATTCTGTTCCAGATGGGGCTTCATCAGAGCTCCACAAAGTGAATCGAGAGGAAGGATATTTCTGTTGTTAAAGCCCTCATGTCAAAATCAGGAGATTTAGCTTCTATTCCTGGTTCTGCCACAGACTTCCAGTGTGACCTTGGGCAAGTCACATAGTCTCTCTGTGCCTCAGCTACCTATCTGTAAAATGGGAATAATAGCACTGCTCTATCTTACCGGGACATTGTGAGGATAAATGGAGTAATGTTCTATTGTCTTGGACATAGGTGCTTATACCGCTATGGTATTGTGGTACTGGTTTGTGATGTGCTCAGATACCCTGGTGATGAGCGCCAGAGAAAAATCCTACTAGTAAAGCAAGTTATTACAGATGTGGTCTTAGGTCACTTGCTTCTATCGTCCTTTTGCTCATTTATAGCGCAGGATGCAGTATAACGTACAGTCCCACTCTGCCCCGGAAGCTAGTGCCAATGACAGTGCCAACCTAGCGCAGTTCCTGGACCCTTGTCTCCCAGCTACGAGGGAGAAGACTCCTTACACTCTCTTCCTGCACAGGGTGAGCCACAAC